ATACTACTATTTTTGACAGAGAGATAGCTTGAAAAAAACGAATCTTGTTGATTTTCTACAATTATTTTCTAAGAACGAAATGATAATTTTAGCGAAGTTACAAAAAAAAAAAGAAAAACTTTATGGTATACATATTAGCAGACTAGGATCTACATCTGAAAAAGTTATGTCTTTTTATCCTCAGACCTAAACGAGAGCAGCTAAGATATTCATATCTGAAATATCCATGGATGACCCTATAGGTTAGAATGTTTTAAATCTATATTTGCGTGGGTACACTCAAATATGTTCCCTCGTTAGCTCCATGTGCTCTATCAAAAAACATAAAATGATTGAAAAATAAAAGTTGCTTAAATTTCGGGTTTTATTGACACCTTACGAGTTTAATATTTTCTCATTAAGTGGATATGATGGATCACATTCTAGAATATTAATCCACTAAAGCGTTTGTATTTTAATTGTTTTAATGTAGAAAAAGTTCTGACAAATAATAGTTGTCTTCTTTACTTTGATTTTTATAACAATGTGTAATTACTAATAACTATCGAGTCAGGAATAGAAACCCTACATTCACAGCATTATAGTACATAAGTTTATAACATAGTTCGATAAATAGTATGAGTTGTGCATGATTTTTATGCAAAGAAAAACAAGTATATTAGTCATTTTATTCAAATAAAATTTGTGAATGCGTCAATATCTTATGTAATCAACATTGAATTAATGTTGTTGATCTACATGAAGACTATTGAAATGATTTATAATGATGTTATTAGTTAGAATGAATTGTTTTAATACCAAGGTCGACTTGATCGATCTATTGAATTGAAAGTTTTGGTTTAGCACTCAGTATTCTATACTTTGTATAAAATATTTCGTATTTGTTTATTTTAAAAACTCCTTGTTACTATAAAAAAAAAGGTCGTAACATGATTCATCCTTAAATACTTCAAAGTAAAGGAAGTGCTTGTTGAATGAGATAGAATTGGTGACGTATAGCTTCAGTCACCAATTTTTGTCTGACAAACAGAAAAAAGAAAAGAAAAACCTTGTCTGACTCAACGTATTTGAGTATTGAAGAAACAAAAAAAAATTCTCTCTCTCTCTCTCTTTCTATCGTTTTTCTGCGTCGCATTTTTTTTTCTTTATTAACAATTTATTTATTCGCAATTTTTTTTTTCTACCTAACAGGAATACGACTCATTCTCATTGATTCTGTAGACTTTTTTTAATTTTTTCTGATAAACGTAACAATGGCAACTATCACAACACCTAGTATAACAACAATTGAACAATTAAGTATTAACAATCCGTCGTATATATCTGATCCAAATGATCCAACAGAAAATATTCTTGATGATGATATTCTTCCGCCAATGCCATTCAATCGACAAGAACGACCACAATCAACTCGTACAACTCGTTCAACAACAAGTCGTTCATCAGTGAATAACCTTGACGGACGTGTTTCATGTCATGATTATCATGCTTCTAAATATTTCTCATATAGAGTAATTTGAATTATACTATATGATGATATCTTAAAGAATCTGTCTATTTTTTTTTTGTCTGTATATAGAATCAAGGATTTGAAAAAGCACTTTATAATATTCAAAAAGGATTTTTTCCTAATATTGATTTTACAACTGAATTTCGAGATAATCTTATGAAACGATCATGGTTATTAATTGAGTATGTAGTTTCTCTTTTTCTTTTTCTAAATCATAATTATTCTTTTTCAATATATTTATTTCTATATAGTATTGATCATTGGAATTTACATCGTGAAGTTATTGTTACAATTATGGAAAATCATATATTAATTGTTCGTTATAATTTTGTACGAGAACGGATTATTTATTCACAAATAATTCGTTTTGATGATATTACTTCAGTTACATATGGTCCATGTTCTTATCCAAATAAATCTCTAATGGGGTAAATAAAGATTTTTCTCTTTAAATATTCAATGATTGATTTAGTTTTATTTTTGTTTTCCTTTATTTAGTGAATATCAATATGGTGGAATTAAAATTATTCATGGAGATGAACCATCGTTTTTGACACGTTGGAATCCAGGTGCTCAAACTAATGTACATGTATTCGTATCACATCATTTAGCTTATAATGATAAAGAACGTGAAACGATTTATTATAATTGTGATGAATTTATTCAATCACTTGATACTGGTAAAAAATAACCAAATTGATGGCTTTTTTTTTCACACATAATAAAATTTGTTTATTTTTAAGCTTTAAATACATATCGTCGAACACAAAATAAAGAAAAACTTGAATTTGTTGAAGATAAAATTATTATTCCAAGTTATGCAAATGTTTGGTCTCTTCTCTTTAATCAAAGTTATTTAGGCTTTAATCGTGATCGAAATGGAGCTAATTGGTAATGCTTTATTCATCAAAAAAATATGCATATTATATACATATACATATACATATATATAAATAAACATATTAACTATTTGTTTTTTATTGATGTCCCATCAGCTAGTAAACTAAGCCATAAGATATTTCGATGTAATTGTTTCATATAATCAAATAAATTATCATTATTTCCTTCATTTTGTAATTCTTTTATTGTTCGAATTAATGCTGCATTTTCTCGAAGTAACTACAAATGAAAATAAAAAAAAAACAACGACGTATTAGATTAGAATTCAATTGAAATTATGCGATTAAAATATTTTTGCAAGAAAATTTTTCTATACAAATAAATAACAATATGGATAATAAAGAATATGATAATGAAGTGTCAATAGTTTTATTAGAAAACATTATTTAAATCATAGAGCGACTTAATTATTAGGAAATTTTTGTCAGAAGAAAAAAAATAATTAATCTAAGAATTGATAATAGAAACAAAGTTCCTTTTCAATCATTTCTTTTGTATTACTGTAGATTGGTGTTTACATTATGACATAAAGAATAGAGTCAATTATACATATATGTATATATTATGTTTGATTTCGGTACTAGGTTAGTTTACTTTTTTTTATTTATTTCCGAATAGATGCATTTTCATAATGATGAGAATATAGAGTAAAGCAGTGAATAACAGTATATCGGTTTTTGAGTGCAAGCGTGTCTAAAAGTTTCTTTTTTCGAAAGGTAAGTATGTTGTTTTGTAGTCAGTTAGATTTACAAGTAATTATCTACTTTGTTCATAATCAGCAATGGAATTTTAGCAAACAACCGATCTAACTCAACGTTCTACTTGCCTGACTGCTCGACCTCTTCATAAACATAGGACCAGGCATTTTATTATAACATACAATAATGTAACATAGACTAATATTATATATATGAACAATCGAACGAGACGAATTTTCGACTCAGATTGATTCCTTGCTTTAGATTTATCGATAATTAGTAACAAGATGAGTGATCACTTGTGAACCTTATTGACTATAAGAAATATATGCTCAATCTTCCAAAAAACGAAATATTGAATCATGTCCTTACTCAAAAATTGAATAATTGTAAAATCAGATATTTTTATACTCTCATCATCATCATTATGCACTACTTTCAGATAAGTAAATCTAATATATAAACTAGCATAGTATCGAAATACAATATAACATATGCATATGTATCTGAGTTGTTGACTTTATTACTTTCATGCCATAAAGTAGAAATAAAAGTGCAAGTACAAAAACAGAAAGAGAAATAACAGAACCTCTTCAGATATGCCCTTTCGTTTTTAATGATTTTTGTTGTCTATAAATATTACATTATATCCCAATAAAATCCGTAAAAAAGGATTTGAAATCCTGTTGATATTTGACTAAACTATCGAAAGCCCCAGATTTTCAGAAGGCTCGTATTTTTATTTGAAACTTTATGTATACAGAGAACTCAACTAGACTAGCTTCCATAAAAAGAAAATAGACATATTTTTAATTCGATAACTAAGTCAAATATCAATAAGAACATAAATCCTTTTGAGGGTTTTTATTACAACACTATGTAATGTCTATTGGCGAAAAAAAATCATTGAAATTGAAAGCAGATTCCCTCATAAACGTAGACACTTACTCTTTAAAAAAAAACAAATCTCATTGTTTTTAAAATCCTCTTATATTACAAAGGTTTAATAAAAATATATTATCACGCTAAAAAAAATATTCATTTTGACTCAACTTTCATCATTATTCCTATAAATGAACTGTTTCACATTTCATCACTTCCCAAACAATGAAGTTAAAGTTATGGATGTAATGATGAACTAATCATTTTAAATATATACTAATAACCTAGAAAAGCTTGTCATCCTTGATGGTAAAATATTTCCTAGAGTAAACTATAAATTCTCTTCATTGTTAATAAACCAAATCAGACAAATTCAAATTAACATAATTATTCTACTCTGAAAACAAATCTTCAATAAAATTTTACCGTCTTATGACAATTAATAACAAAAAAAAAAGAAAAGAAAACTTTAATTAGTTTCATTTTATGTTTATTACATTAGTTACTGTTTGTTCATCGCCTTGATAATTATTGCCTGTTTCTGGATCAATTAAAAATATTTTTGACATTTCTAAATATAAAATAAAAGAAACAATATTTTATTATTTATATATAACAATACTCTTCTTTCTGTTATCAAATTTTTTGTTTGGTTTGTATACAGACACACACACATATATAATGAGTAATCAATAAACACAGAAGAAAAAAAAAAAGTGTGTGACTAGAATCGAATATGTTATGAGATTCATTACAAGCTTTCACAGGAGAGAAAAAAAAACAACAAAATTTATGAATAACAAATAACCATTCAGAATACTCAAACTGTAAAAATAAAAAAAAAAGAGGAAAAGTGAAAGAAATAAATCAAGCTTGAGGTGGTACTTGTTGTGGATAGGACGATGTATACTGTTGTTGTTGTTGCATGGGCATACGCGATTGATTTTGCCATTGTTGTTGCATAAGATAATTTTGTTGTGGATAATATCTTTGTTGTTGTTCATTATAATTATTATTCATAATTTGTTGATTTGAAATAATATTTTGTGTATTAGTTGAAGAATTTGATTGAAGTGGCGGATCTAAATGTTTGTTTTTTAATAGTTTAGATGAAGAAGAAAAGAAAACAAAAAAATTTAAATCTACTTTGTTGCTGATGATACATTGGATATTGTCCATAACCATTTTGTTGTATTGAATATGAATGTTGTTGTGGAATATAAGATTGTGAATAGGATGAATCCATTGTATTACTATTAAGAATACGTCCTTGTTGTAAATATGGTAATCGTTGTTGAGATATTGTAGATTTATTTACTGGATTTGAATGAGATGAAATTGATGAATTAGACGAATGTTGTTGTTCAACTGATGAATTTGTAGATGTAGATAAAGGATATAAACTTGTATTGGAATGATGAGCAGTTTGGTTTAGAGTATTTGTTTGTGTTCTATAGACTAAAGATAAATATATAATGTTAGATGATCAAACAGTTCCTGAGGAGATTAGAAAACGTTTTAAAAAGGTTTCATATTCATGCATCTTTCGCCTTGAAGCATCATCATTTTAGTGAGTTTTTCAACAAAACGTTTTGGATGATCTCGCATCATCTTTAAACTTTGAGCAAACAAGAAAATAGTTCATTGTGATACATCATCCAATGAGAGTGTTAAAGTATATAGGGCAGAAATTTGAATCCCCCTCGTCTCCTCAATAACGATTCGTAACAACATATTAACTACTTCCCTATTGCACTTTTCGAGTATTAAATAAAAAGAAAGGTGAAGAAAAATGTCCCAAGATATATAGAATAAAACAATTTCCATCTAATTATCAACAGCAACTACATTGTGTTTCACATTTTAATCCCATAGGAATCATGCTAACAACTTTTTTAATCTTTAAATAATAATATTGATGGTATTCATTTAGCAGGTGTTCCATCTTCTAATATTATCTCATATCAGAGAATTGAACACCAACTTTAATGTCACTGATTTCAGCTAAATAAGTAATAACACTTAAATTCGAAATGTTTACTTTGATCAGATTGAGTTTGTGGAGGCATATTTCCATTCTCAAAAAAAAAAATAATTTCAAATAAAAAATTTATCGTGAAAATTTCAAGAAGTTCTTACTATCAACGGTTGTTGTTGTGTTTGAATAAATGCATCTGGTGGCTAAAAATTAACAGAGAAATATTAAACTATAAATTAAAAAAATATATACATACTGGTAGATTATTTGGATGATGAGATGTTGATGGATCGAATTGAATTAAATAAATTAAATTACGATATAATGTTCGTTCATATCTAAAAATCAAAACAAAAAATATTTTTATTAAAAATATTTTTTATTTAAATAAGAAAAACTTACTCAAGACATTCGATTTGTTTTCCTTTAGATTGTAAATCAAGAATTAATGAAATTAATTGTGAATTATCATCAAGTAACTAAAAACAAAAAGAAAACAACAATTTCAAATTTTTATAAAGAAAAATTAATTTATTTACTTTTTGTATAGTAGATTTTTGTTGGAATACTGATCCCATTTGATACTGTTGTTGGGTATACATAGTACAAGTGAGGTTTTTGATGAATGAAAAAAAACAACAAGCGAAAAAAAAAATAATCAACCAATAAGATTATATAGATGACGCCGTATATCTTTTTTTACTATGCGATTGATTAATAATTATATTATGATAATTTCGAATTTTGATTATGACGAAACATTTTCTTCGAAAATCTCAAATAAATTTTTATTTTAATCGTTATTTACATGAAAAATCTCGTTTTGAAAATGGTCCTAATTTAGAATATTTTCTTAAACAACCAAAATCAAATGATTATCAGGGTAATTTAATATTAGGTAAAGGTGAACAACGTCTTCGAATTCCACCATGGTTAAAAACTGAAATACCTATGGGAGAAAATTTTACAAAATTAAAAAATACAATGTCAAAATTAAATTTAAATACAGTTTGTGTTGAAGCTAAATGTCCAAATATTGGTGAGAATATATTATTTTTTTGTCAATTCATTGACCTTGAAAATAAAAAATAGTTAGAAAAATTCTATTATTTCTAATAAATCAAAATCAGAATATTGAAAAAATATAATTTCTAATTCAATAAAAATTTCTAAAAAATATGTAAATGTTAAAATTTTCAGTTTTGTTAGTATAAAATATAAAAAGAAAAAAGATTCAGAGATAATAATATTAAGTTATTTTAAATTGACCATTTTATAGAATAGAATTCTTAATTTATAAAAATTCAACTCTAGGTGAATGTTGGAATGGTGGTGAAGATCGTATAGCAACAGCTACAATTATGTTGCTAGGTGATGAATGTACTCGTGGTTGCCGTTTTTGTTCAGTTAAAACTTCTCGTAAACCATCACCACCTGATCCAAATGAACCAGAAAATACAGCTAAAGCTATATGTTCATGGGATATTGATTATATTGTTTTAACATCTGTTGATCGTGATGATTTATCAGATCAAGGTTCATCACATATAGCACAAACAATAAGTTCAATAAAACGACAAAAACCAAATTTACTTATTGAATGTTTAACACCAGATTTTCGTGGTGATAAAAAATGTATTGAAACAATTGTTAAATCAAATTTAGATGTTTATGCACATAATGTTGAAACTGTAAGAGAATTACAATCACATGTTCGTGATTATCGTGCTAATTTTGAACAATCATTAAATGTTTTAATTTATGCAAAAGAACTAAATCCAAATTTAATAACAAAAACTTCTTTAATGTTAGGTTTAGGTGAAACAAATGAACAAATTCGAGAAACAATGCGTCAAATACGTACATATGCTAATGTTGATTGTTTAACATTAGGACAATATATGCAACCAACAAGGCGACATTTAAAAGTTAAAGAATTTATTCGACCAGAAGTATTTGAAGAATTAAAAAATTATGGTGAATCAATTGGATTTCTTTATGTTGCAAGTGGACCACTTGTTAGATCATCTTATCGAGCTGGAGAATATTTTATTAAAAATATTCTTAAAACTAAACGTCAAAAAAAAGAAGCAGTTAATGTTTGATTGTAAATGAGAGTTCATTTTTCTAGTTAGATTTTGGAGAATTTATTTATTTGTCATTTAAGAAATCTTTGATGATTACTATGCAAAAGCGGATTTTTTTTGTCAAATAAAAAGATCTTTCTTTTTTGTTTTTAGATATAAATTTACAATAATCAATTAAATATTTCTAATATTAATCATTGATTAATATGAATATTTTCATTGTAAATCGTTTATTATGATTGGTTAAACAAGCAAATTTCTATTGTACATAGTCGGTAATTGAATATTATAAAAATAATAATTGAGACTTGTTATTATTTATCTGGGTAATAAATCATAGTCATTGTAAAAGTATGCTTCGAATATAGATAATGTTTTACTACTATACTAGTTAGTTCGTTTCGTAGAATCACAATTGAAAAGTCTTAGAATCGATTCTACTTGTAATAAAATGATATTTTTCTTTTAAAAAAATTGTTCACTGACATTTATTTTAAATAAAATATTTTTAATATTTATCACAACTTAAAATGTATGACTGTTGATAGATATATATATATATGTATGTCAAGAGAAGATTTCTTTATGATATTCAATGTTTTCTAATAGCATAGTATCATACAGAATTTGTTTTTTCGAAATATTTTCAATGAATCTATTCATTTGAATGCATACGACCTTGTTCTAGCAGGAATCTACTGAAAACTGATGAAAAATCTCCGGATTTTTCGTATGGGTTTCAAGCAACTTCCTGTTATTTCCGATGGCAAACGATCAGAAGTCACCGAAAAAAAAAATCCAAAACCATTCCAATCTGAAATGCTGCTTCCACATTTCACCAATTTTCAGTGTTTTTCAGCCGGATACGATAGTTTTCTCATATTTCTTTGATCAGTTCTATCAAAATCTGCTTGTTTTCGGAGACTGAAATCATCGACTTCAGCATACGTAATAGTTCAATCTATATATATTTTTTCATTTGTGCACATATGACAAAGCTTAAAATATTTAATCTTATTGTTTTTCAAAACTTCGAAATAAATAATTTCTTTTTACTAATTCTATCAAATATTAATTGACGATCGTATATGGTTGTGCATAATTGAATATAAATTGATTTGCATGTTTTTAGACTCGTTTTTTTTTTCTTTCATACATGTTATTGACAATTCATCTGTTACCATTCAAATAAAAACTACAATATATATAAAGGAGGAATTGAAGCAAAAAAATTTTATTTTTAATTAAACAAAATTATTTTTGATCTATTTCAGATGTTATTTCGACATCTCTCTTGGCGTCTATATCGTAATCGTCATAGATTAGTAGTAATACTTTTTATTACTTTTTTTATTATATTTTTCTACTATGATAATAATAAGAATTCATCAATTACATCCACAACTCTAGTTAAAAGACAAGTTAGAAATATTAATGAAAACAAAATACGTATTAATCGAGAAACATATACAATACCTGAACCATGTCATGGTTGTCCAGGAGAAAATGGTGCAAGTGTATCTTTATCGGTAATTGAAGAATATACAAAAAGAAAAATCTTAATTTAATATTAGTATAATTTATTTTCTCTAGGCTGAAGAATCAAAAGGTTTAGATGCAATTATGAAAAAAGAATTTTTTAATTTACATGCAAGTGATAAAGTTTCATTATGGAGATCAATACCTGATACTCGAGATCAATTGTATGTTAAAGAAATAAAAATTTTTTTAATGTTTATTTAATTTATACAAAACTATAGATGTAAATCAGTTGACTATCCACATGATTTACCAAGTGCATCAGTTATTATTATATTTAAAAATGAACGTTGGTCACCAGTACTGCGAACTGTTTATTCAGTTCTTAATCGTTCACCAAAACATTTATTAAAAGAAGTTATTTTAGTTGATGATCAATCCGATATTGGTAAAGAGAAATTCTACAGGAAAATTAAATAGTTTATTTTTCAAATTATTTAGAGGAAATGGGACAACGTTTAGATGATTATTGTGAAGAACATTTTGGAGAATTAGTTAGAATATTACGAGCACCAACGAGACTTGGATTGATTAAAGCAAAAAATTATGGTGCAAGAAATGGTTAGTTTTAGTTTGAAATCAAAACAACATATTTATTCTTGTTTTTGATTTGTATAGCTACCGGTGATGTTGTGATTTTTCTTGATGCTCATTGTGAAGCAAATGTTGGATGGTAAAGAAAAACATAATTATCTTTTGTTTCAATTAAAATACTTATTTTTTTTTTTTGTATAGGTTAGAACCCCTTTTGCTTCGAATTAAACAAAAACGTTCAGCAATTTTATGTCCAATGATTGATATGATTAGTGAACGTGATATGCAATATGGTGTAAATGATATTTTTAATTTGTTATTGATTTAAATTTGTTTGTTATATAGGGTACTGGGACTGGAAGTGTCGGTGGTTTTTGGTGGTCATTACATTTCAATTGGATACCAATTCCAAAACGAATACTTGATGCACAAAAATCAAAAATTGATCCTTATCCGTATGTATATTATGTAGATTTTATTGAGGAAATTTGAATCAAATTACAATTATTATTTCAATTATAACAAAAAAAAAAGAAACCGATTAGTTTGAATTCAAAATTTATATTGATAGTTTTATAAATTTTAGCAGAACAAAAATGTTTCTAAGATTAAATTAGAAAATATAATTTTTATTCTAAGGAATGAAGACGGCGAATGTCTTAAATTTGACTACTACTTCTCGATTATATATTTATCTCATTTAAAAAAGTACTAATTATTGAGCTTTTTTTACAGATCAGTAATGAAAATACACAAAGATTTCGATGATAGTGTATGTTAGGGCGCGTTAGGTCTTGTTCGGAACTGGTCCATACTCTAAAAGTGATAGTCAATGATGATTTGATTATTATAAGATCATCGTTAAGATTGTCTAAGAAATATGTATGACATATTAGTAGCAAAACTCGAAGCGAGTAAGAGATTTAGACTAAAAAATTTCGTTGAAATTAGGAGTGGGGCTCGGTTTCGAATCCAAAAAAGTTTAATCAACCGCATCCGAATGAAAAAAAAGAATAATGAAATTCACGATGTCAAATAGATTTAAAAAACTCTGAATGAATCAGAATTCTTCGTTTTTTTCCTCTTTAGATCACCAACAATGGCTGGAGGTCTTTTAGCAGCCGATAGAAAATATTTCTTTGAAGTTGGTGGTTATGGTAAAATTTTTACATATGATTGATTCGATTAATTTTTTATTTTGTTTTTCTTTTTTAAATTTAGACGATGATATGGAAGTAAGATTTTTCTATTTTGTTTATTATAATTGAATTATTTTGTATTTAATATATAGGTTTGGGGAGGTGAAAATTTAGAAATCTCATTTCGTGTATGGATGTGTGGTGGTAGTCTTGAATTTGTTCCATGTTCTCGTGTTGGTCATATTTTTCGACCAGGTCATCCATATAACATGACTGGATTGAAAGGTAACTATTGAAAATTTTCATCATCTAAAAAATAAATATAATTTTCTAGGCAAAGGTGATGTACATGGTCGTAATTCGATGCGTTTAGCTGAAGTTTGGATGGATGATTATAAACGTTTCTATTATATGCATAGACGTGAACTTCGAGTAAGATTTTTTTATTTTCGATGAAAGATAATTAATATTGAATTATTTTAATTTAGGATAAAGATTTTGGTGATGTTGAAGATCGTCGTGCTATTCGTAAACGTTTAAATTGTCATTCATTTAAATGGTATCTTGATAATGTCTATCCAGAAAAATTTATTTTAGATGAAAATGTTCATGCATATGGAGAAGTAAATAAAATTTTTATAAATAAAATTTTCATATAAATTTATTATTTTATTTTTCTTAGCTTAGAAATCCTACTTCAAGTTTATGTTTAGATACATTAGGTGAAAATGAAAAAGGATCAATAAATCTAGCAGTTTTTTCATGTCAAAATGGTGTATCAGCTAATCAATATCTTACACTTTCAAAAACAAATCAATTACGTCGAGAAGATACATGTGCAGTTACTATGAATTCAAATTCAGTTGTTTTAAATATGTGTGCTTATAGTGATCAAACACAAACATGGACACATGAAAAAGTAATAAACAAAAACAAAAGATAAATTTGTTTTAATCAGATTATGATTGTTTTGTTTTTTATTAAAGAATGGACCAATTATTCATCATCCGAGTAATCTTTGTCTTGATGTCGAAGGTCTTTCAAATAATGAACAAATTAAATTAAAAAAATGTGAAGCTAATAAACCATCACAACAATGGTTATTTGAACATTATTTAACATAATTATTTCTAAAAAACATTCCTTTACTGTTTTTTATTTTTTTTGCATTTTTGATCTTATGAACAGTACTATTACTAATATTTGATAATCATTTTCTGAATTGTTATTTTTTATTTTGTTTTTTTTTGTTTTGTTATTAATTATAAAATAACTCTAGTAATATACTACTAACTCTCAATTTTTCTTTTTATTTCATACTAAGTACGTGATATATGTTGTTGAATTTTTATTTATACAGTTAAGTAATAAAAACAAGAAAAGAAAAAATTATTCATATATTTTATTCGTTTTATATTAAATTGAACTTATAAATTGTAACAAATATTAAGAATTTATATATATTTGAAAATGAATTTTACTTGTGAAAGACTTTAAATTAGTGGAAATATTTCTGATGATGTCATTCGCTTAGTCATCACCGATGTAATGTCACCATCATGTTGAATTATTGTGACATTTCAAATAGTTTATAAACAAAATAGAACAACATTATTTAGTTTTTATTTATTAGAATTAACGAAAACAACTTAGGAAGTACAGAGTATGTGAAAACAGTAGATTTTGTATACACATTTAGATGTTAATAGATCTATAAAATAACAGATCTATTTTATTTTTTAGACATTTAATATCTTAATTGACGTTTTAATTTATAATTATACTAATTTTTAAATAGGTATATAGAAATTAGAATATTAAAAAAAGTTTCTTTCAAAATAATTATCATTATACGTAATTAAACTTTTTATCTTTATAGATTAATGGCAAACACTAAAAAACGAAAAGTTACTGAAAAAAAAGAACCTATTCTTCAAAAACAAATCAAGAAAAAACAAACAAAGAAGACTATTCCATCAAAAAAACAAGATCAACTTGAAGTCGAACTTCCATTAACTACAAATATCAATAAACTAGAAAAATCATTGAGTAATTTAGTTTGTGATGCATCATGGTCAGAAAATCTTCAAGATTTATTTAATACTAATAATTTTAAACAAATTGAACAATATCTAAGTAATTTATGGTCAACTGGTAAAAAAACATATCCTCCAAATGATCTTATTTTTGAAGCATTTAATAAAACACCATTTGATAAAGTTAAAGTAGTTCTTCTCGGTCAAGATCCATATCATGATGATGGACAAGTAAAAACAACAAAAAAATAAAAATAAAAATTCTTTTGTTTTTGTTCTTAAATAATTTTTCTAGGCTCATGGATTAGCTTTTTCTGTACCTAAAACAATGACAATATTACCACCATCTTTAAAAAATATTTATAAAGAATTAGCAAATGATATAACATCATTTCGAATTCCTGGTCATGGTTGTTTAGGTAAAAATGTCAAGTATACATTAAATCAATTCTTTTTTTTTTTTTTGCTCTTTAGAAAAATGGGCAAATGCAGGTATTCTTTTACTCAATGCTTCATTGACAGTCGAGTAAGTTTAACAAAATATTTTCTAAATGGAATACTGCGCAAAATTATAAGAATAAAGTTTTGTTAACTTTTTTCTCTGTGATGTTGAACCAAACCAAATTTTATTGATTCGATCTTTGATATCGAACATTTAACTCAAATCCAAATAGTGAAATTGCATAGCTAATAAAGCTCTCTATCAAATAGAAATCTGCATGGAAGTCATTTTTAGGAGCGATTGAAGTTCTCTAAATTGAATACTACAGATTTTTCTGAATGATGAGTTTTCATCGATTCACATCTTCACAGGACTTTACAAAGATGAAGAAAAGTCGGAATCGAGATCGATTTCGAGTTCTTCTCATGAACATAGACCTCTAAGAGACATCAATCCAAATTCTGAAAACATAACAGTTTGTACAGTGAATATCAAACAATAAAACTTAGAATTCAAGAAATCTTTTATATTAATTTGATTTATTAGTGAGACATTTAGTTGACTGCGTTACAAGTCTCTAAGTTTCATAATTGGACTAGGTGTGAAAGTTTTGTAAAAATAAAACAATCGAACATGGTAGTTTTCATCTCCAAGATGACGTTGAAAGAGTTTGTTTTTGAGCATTAAATTCTGAATAATATGTGAGGAGTTACCGTATTTTTTACGGCCTTCCATTACCAATTGACGAGTATCACACAACACAAAAATAACGCACTTTTTAGCGACTTCTTGATAAAAATTTTGTTTTTTTTTCACGTTTCATATTGCTTGTAAGTTTGAAAGAGAAGATCGTAAAAAATGCGACGATCTCTCATAGTGTTCAGCGCTTTCAAATGGCATTATTAAAAATCAACTGTTTCAACATCTCCTAAGACATGACTTGATATATAATTTATCTAATAGAGACTATCCAAGAGTTAGATACTCGACATCATAGAAAAAAAAATCAATAATATCTTGCTATTATAATTTTGTGCAGTATATTATATATTTACTTATCTTTTCAGACCTCATTTACCAAATTCACATTCTCGTATTGGTTGGACACAATTTACTGATGATGTTATTAAACTTTTATCAACTAAACGTAAAGGTTTGATAGATAAATTTCTTTATTTTCTACAATAATAAATTTTAAAAAATAACATAGGTCTTGTTTTTCTACTTTGGGGTGGTTATGCTCATGCAAAAGAAAAATTAATTGATCAAACAAAACATACAATTATCAAAACTGCACATCCATCTCCATTATCATTTAATAAATTTTCTAATTGTAAATGTTTTTCTCTTATTAATGCAGCTCTTGAAAAATATGGCGAAGAACCAATTGATTGGTCTCTTTAAAATAAATTCTAATTTGAATACTTTTCTTTTTCTTGTATCCAATAATATATATATATATATATATGTATATATATTTGATTATTAATATATTTACGTTTACATAAAACAAAAGACAAAGAAATTCAGTAGAAAGAAAAAGAGACATACAAGCAAAACAATTATAAACATAAAATATTGTCTTTATGAGTTGATCAAATGAATTAGAACAACAAAACAAACAAAAGCAAAATAAGCGAAAGAAGAAAAAACAACAACAACAACAAAAAAAAAAAACGAAAATGTTGAGCATCATCACGGGTTGAGTATTAAATATAATCTCACCGGAAAAATCAGAAGAAAAAAGAATTGATAAAATGAGAAATCAAGAAATAATATGAAAGATACTATAAATTTTTTATATGAAGAATAAATCAATGGAAGTTTTATATAATTATATTTCATCTTCACTTGATTCTTCTTCCGTATCATCATCCTCAGAAGGAGGTGCTGAAAAATGTTCCGCTATTGTTGGTACTGAAAATCTTTGGGGTCTAAAATTAACAGAAAAAAAAATAAATCGTTTTATATTAATTTTTGTTTTTAAATCAAATTATAAATCAAACAATAAAAACAAATGGGAGCAGGATTATAAAACACACACAAGATATATATATATATACCATATCTCTCGTATTGTTCGCATAATTTGAATATAAGAGGATCTATTGAGTAATTATGATGAAAAATAAAACCAACAAAATTCTAAATTAATTATATTATTAACATACTTATTAATATTAACAGCATCTTCTGGCGAAGAATTTGAACGATTACGTGGTGCTACACCCAAAGCGTATGTATTTAATGTATTAGTTTCTGTTGAGCTAGTTTATACATAATCCCATGTGTTAAATTAAAAAGCAAAAAAAAAAAAGAATTAATAGAAATATTTACTTACTTATTGGGAACAAAATTATTTGATGGAACTGATATATGAGTAGATAATTTTTGATTAGATGAATTATTTAAAATAATAGGTGCATGACTTGTTTTCTAAATATGAATATATTTTCGATATGAATTTAAATAGAATAAAAGAAAAAATTAATTTTAATTTACTGAAGATCGTGATCGATGATTATTATCCTTATTTACTGGAATGCTTGTTCGACCTGATGGTAAAGGTGCACCTGGCATTAATAATGTTTGTCCACTAGCACTTAATCCATCGTTATTCAGTGGATTTGGAGATGTCGATGATGATGATGGCGATAATGGTGATCGATTTGAAAATACACCGAAAAATTTTTTTGAAAAACCTTTCTTTTTCGATGATACTGGTGATGTACGACCAGAATGTGAATTTGTATCGGTTGTTGTAGTTGTTGTATTACTTGTAAAACTTGCACTACGTACATTAGGATGTGTATCCATTACATGATGAAAATTATCCAGTTCAGAACCAAAATCAGGTATTGGACTAATACTGAATACATAACAAAGTTTTTGTAAATCTTCATATTTTAATCGCTGTCGTTGTTCATATACACGTGAACGAAGACTTGGCGATTTAATAGCAACATCTACTGAATTGAGCAATAATGTAAGAAAATAAGAACAAAATGATTTATCATATATTAATATTCCACCAGGCGGATCAATTATTGATGTTATATCATTTCGACGCCACATACCAATCTTAAAATAAATATAAGAAAAGACATTGTTATTATTTTTTTGTTTTGTTTTTTTTGTTTTCATTTTACTTTATAATGAAGTTTTTCATCTTTTATAATTGGTTGTACAGTAATATAAATTTGTGTAACTTTTCCCGAAATAAAATCTGGTGAAAAATTTGCACCTTGTTCTTGAAAAACAATACAAACAAATGCATTTCCAATTAAACCTTTTCTTATAGTACATTTTTCATCAGCATTTGTTGATGGTACTAATGGTGCTATATTAAACATTATTTCATGATTTTTATATTCAGCATGATATGAATGTTCTCCATGTGAACCATTTTTTGTATCAAGATCACCACGATATTTTTGAAAACCTTTTAAATTAACACGTTGAGATATTCGATCAAGAAAATTTAACATTTCATTTGATGGTTGATCATTATTAAATATATCATATTCATTTGTTTGATTAAAACGTTGATAAATAACACCAATTTTACAATTATATCTTTCATCATTTTTTTTATCAAATGAATAAATTTTTTCATTCGCCTGTTAATAATAATTTTAAAATGAAAAATAATTTCAATATTTTTTTTTCACTTTTCTTCTCACCTACTCACTTTTGGATCACCGACAGGTCCATATGTTTGAACTGATGGTAAACGTGCTTTATGAAATAAAATTCGAAGAATACTATTTTCATTTGTACTATTAAGTGTCTCAGATACATCACAATTACGATATTGAGTACTATAAAAACAAAAATAGATTAGTTAATTATATTTCATATTAATGATTTATACCGAATAATTGCACGTGCTTCACACGTATCTGTCATAGCTGTTTTATGGTTAATACAACGTAGAGATGCTATAAATGGACCTTCAGCATCAAATACACCAGAATAATTTATATGAAACTAGTCATATAAGAATAGAAAGATCTTTGTTTTAAACATTGATTCACTTACATAGTCGAAAAAATAATTATGATAAATTTCAGAAACACATAATGGTGTATGTGATTCAAATATGAATGATTCAGCCGAACGTGATTCAGATGTATTTTCATCGAAGGTAAATAGTGATGATGATGATATCGTATCTTCATTTGAAGGTAATAGTAAACGTTCACTACTATCCGAAGATACTAATCGAGAAGCATTTGTAGGTGCTGTTGTTGACTTCTAACAATAAATAAATAAATAAATTTATTTATTTATTCATTTAAAAAACTCTATTTTAAATTTGATTTATTTTAACGCTACCTGTTGCCTCTCTTCTTCAAACTTATGTATCATGTTTAGTATTAATTTTGAAGTGATTAGATGAGTATAAAGTCAAACAATAGATAAATAGAAAAAAGAACGGGTCTTAAGCTTTTTTTTTTCCCTATTAAGATGCCGGTTTATTTTTTCATTAACAATCCCTATATATATGAGATGAAGAACGACAGAAAATGAGACGCGGAAGAGAAAAAAATATATATATAAGAAATAAGAAATAAGAGACAAGAAACAACAAACAAAGAACGTGCGAAATAGAAAAAATAACATTACTAACGGTTTGTCATTGTAATTCAAGCGTAACTACAATAGACACCTATATGAGTGTCTCATTATTGAGAGACTTTTATTTTTTAAACATATCTTTTGTTATAAAGAAAACACTTCCCCTTTTTCTTTTCTTTTCTGTCTCCTTTTGAGATAAATGTTATTTGAAGGAAAAGAGAAAAACATACAACAAGGATTGATTCACACTATGAGCTGACAAGAATAATCTTCATCTTGTCTCTTTTATAAATCTTTAAAATGATTACTTATGATCTCAAGATGAGATGACAGTACATTTATAAATATAAAAGTTAACATGACTCTCAAAAGAATACTTAACATACAGTGTTCATATCTTTTATCTCTCTCTTTCTGTCTTTAGGCCTACTCATTATTCTACATCGTCTATTTTAGTCATGTCGTGTATTACACAAAAAAAAAAGAAATTTCCTTCTCAAACATGAAAACAAGCATACAATGATTTAACTCACCAATTGAGATTGTGAATCTGCTTTCATTGCTATTGTATCCGAGAAATGAATTGAAGAATTTGAAACGTTCGTAGTGACGTTGTTAACAGTAAAATTAGTCGTGTTTGCTTCGTCTCTAAAACACAAGTTTATAATCAAAGAAAAAGACACGATGAGCGGCAAGAAAGGCATTCACGTTGGGTTAGGGTACATAATAATCATCTGCAACTACCTCACATTTACTGATAAGAAAAAAAGGAAGAGAGAAAAAAAAAAGAAAGAGTTGCTAGTTTCTTTTTCTCATTATCAATACATTTTTTTTTGTCACCGGTTTCTAATGAAATGACGTCGTTTTAGACTACAATGTTCTTATCACTATCATCTGTTTCTATACCCATAACTTACTTTGTATTAGTTTTTTGATGATGTTTTGGGTTACGGAGTGCATGTGGTAAGAAAGAACTGAAATGTATTTGGGCAATTGAGTTACGATGTTCAAGAGGTAGATGATGATCTTTTTCAAATGTTGATTTTATTTCACTAGTACGTTTATCACGTTTGTTATCAGATTTATTTGTAAGTACTGGTATTTGTGTTAATTCTACTGGTGTATCAGGTAATGGATCTTCTGTAGACATAGCTCGAATTCGTAATTGAGATCTATGTTGACGAATACGATCTTTTTTAGGAGATTTCGATGGTTGTTTTTCTAGATTTTGTTCACTTTGAGATATATGTGAATCTAATGGTTTATTCGGATGTAAATGCGTGGGAGCACGATTTTTAAACAATGATAATCGTGGAGGTGGTGATGATGGTGCTGAATCGATCGACATGATTTATATAATAAAAAAAATAAAAATAATCTTTCTAAAATTAGAAAAATAAAAATGAAAATTAATCTTTTTCCAGTAAAAAAAACAAAACAAAAAATATATTAATAAAGCACTTATTTTTATTAGTTTTTGTTTTTCTCATTTATTTACTCGAAAACCTTTTTTTTTTTATGTTTTATATTAACACAAATGCAAGGACATCTTAACATCTATTAAATTTATTCTACGCAATACATATCTTGTAAATAAATGAGATTTTTCAAAGTCTTCTTAAAATATATATATATACACTTACTACTTCGTCGATAATACATTTCGACACCTGTGATTCATATCTATTCAAATAGAAATATCTCATTACTAATTTGGCATGGAAATCCTATTAGAAAAAAAAAAGAAATAAACCAATTTTTTTTGTCTTCAGCAGTATTTTTTTAATACTATAATACTTAAAAATAGAAGAATAATTAAGAAATAACACAACCTTAATAAATATTACTATCGATTAACCGACCTTTCAACGGCATATACGTAGTTTTGTGTATACCTATTGCGTTCTGCTTGAGTAATCTTTTTTTTTCTTTTTTTCTGCGTGCTTAGTCAGTCAATATAAATATGACTATGCAGATTAAAAGGAGTTTTCTTTTGCGTATATCAAGTTACATGTGCTCGATCATGCGTATTTCGATAAAAAAAACCAGAATTATACAAAAACATTAAAAAAATATATCTATCTTATCTATAATAAAAATATAGGTATATAATTGCTCTTACATCTATAATTATCTATTAATGTGTATTAATTTATTTAAGTTTTAAGTCAAAAAATATTTACATAGATACATTGTATATCATATATACACTATTTATTATTAATAATATACTTTCATTTGTTTTTTGTTCGATCCAAAATATGCACCAAGATGAAAGAAAAATAGAAATTATTTATATGTCTATAACACTTGATATCATAACATTTTATTGACACAATAAATATATCGTTATATTTTTTGCACACTTTTTTTATAACTCATCATTACAGATTCATAGAGACATTTGTCAATGTCAATAACCATTTTGAAAATTACTTTGCAACGGAAACAATATTCATTATTTGCTACAGCAGAGCAACATATTAAATTTTTAGAGAATACTTACTTAATAGTAATTTTTAAATATTAAAAATAGAGATATTATTAATTAGAAACGTATAATCAACACATGTATAACGAGTAAGGAACGATAAAATATAGTGCGCAATAAAATTAATTTGAGGAAAAGTTTGACAACAAGAAAAGAAAAAAAAAATTTGGTCTTTCTTTTTAATATTCAAACGGCGTCGTATTCTCTCTCACTCTCTTGTTTTCTTATTACTTTATTTTTCATTCCATTACGTGTCAATAGTGTAGAAAAAGAAAAATGAGACAAATACAGCAGCAAAGACCCGAAAAGTATCAATTTGCTATAACAATTCTAGGATTCTTTATCACTTTCTTCTTTTTTTTTTTATGATTTCTGTAGTTTTATTGATTCGTTCATTTTTCTCAGATGAATGTGTTTTGTATTTTAAATACGATAGAAAACAAAATAAAAGTAATATTGATTGAGAATGCTAATATTGCATTGACAAAAACGGATGAACGTGCCACATTTTAACAGTGAAGTGGTTTTTTTATAATAACTCTTCATACTAAATTTTTTCTCTTTTTTTTCTAAAAATAATAATAATAATAATAATAAAATACAATAGATGAAAGGAAATAATATACGTCCCCTGATCTTATTTCTTTTTATTTTACAAAGAGAATAATAATGTATAATTGCAACATGCATATCTATTCCCTTTTGGAATTCCATGATCGAATTAAAATCATAATTTTCGCTTTGTTTGATACAATCTATATTTAGTTGTTGATTATCTTAATGAATTTTTATTCTATTATTATATATTAATATAATAAAAATTGAAAAGAAAAAAATAATGATGTATTGGGTACGATTTGTCGTTCATATTTTATATGATGTATATGAATATCTATCGAAATTGAATCAATCATATCAAATAACAAGATTTAGAAAATGAATTGAATAAAGATATTAATTGTATTTTTATCGAATTTATATACGTCTTATAGAATATTTGAAATCAATTATAAAATTGGCATAATGAAATATTTCTATACTATTAACTAATAAAGAGTGTTCTATTTGTTCATGTATAAACAAAGAGTGATCCTTACACAATTATATCTATGTGAGATCCGAATATTTAGGACGATGTTTTAAATGACATTATCTCTTTTAACAATAATTATACAAACAGAAGAAACCTGATAATTAAAATCTCGAAATCGACTAGTATTTTTTTTTTAAGAAGTTTTATTGAACTATGAATTCTTCGTATGTAATGATAATGTTTCTTCTATTTACATGACTATTATTAAAAAAGATAATGTTCTTGAACAATATACTATTTAAAACATCGTCCTAAATATTCGAAGTTCATAGAGATACAATTGGGGAGAGATCACTCGTTGTTTACATATAAACTAATTTTTGTTGACGTCCTGAACTTATGCGACATTCTTTATTGATTGAAGCTTTTTCATAGAGATTTTCTTCGAAAATAAACAATTATTTAATGTATAGAATATTCAAATAAAATTTTATTGAGATCTGTGGAATACAATTCACGAATATGTGATATACACATCGAAAACCAACAAGTTATTGAAACAAATCAAAAGAATATAAACTTGTTATTGAAATTCTTCATAATAGATATGCTTATATAAATAAAAAAAATCTTGGTTTCATGACGATGAGAGCAATATTAGTTCTCTTCTAAGTAGTTAATTTGATTATTTTTTTTGCTATATTATTGATGATTGTAACACATATCATTGTCGTCATATAACGAGCGGTGCCGATTAAATGAAATAAAATCATTTCGGACACTTACAGTGACTCTCAAAATTATCCATCTAGATTTATTTTCAATTTTTTTTTACTGTCGTAACTGCTAATAAGAATTCAAATAATGATTTGTATAGAAAATTTTACTTCTAACACGAATTTTTCAAGATGAAAATGAGTGCTACTTTTTCAAGAATAGAATCTCTGAAAAATTCAAAAGCAAGTTTTTCAACTTCTCAAATTTGCAAATAAAATTCTATTTGAATTACACAAGTCGAAACAAATAGAAAATAAACCTGAGAGAATAATTTTGAAAGTTACTGTAGATATACTTTCAGAAATTTATTTTATGCTTATTCGATAGAGAATTTTTCATTAATGAACTTTTTCTTTTTGAAGCATAATTCAAAAGGTTAATATCTACTCTCAATCGTCTAATTGCGAATATCAAAAACGAGAAAAAATGATTCAAATTTTTTAGCAAAAGTTTCGCTGAAATTTCCCATATGTTACAAAATTCTCTACCTCTTTTGATATATATTTCACGATTTTCAATGAAGTACCTGCGAAAAAATCTGGACGTAAAAAATGTGAAAACATAGTTAAACATCCTTTTTTTTTTGATAGGATTATGTGATAGTTCTTTTTTCATTCGACACAACCTAATCACTTTTACCGTTTAATTTCGTTCAGAATTAGATGCTGTATTCGACAGCATGAGAATGAACATTTCATACACCAAGTTTGGCTTTGGAAAAACAATTTTTGAAAATGCATCCAAAAATACCAGAAAGTGTTAGTTCCAAATCTTTTTTTTCTTAACGATATTATCACGAACTTCCAAAAGATCGAAAAAGGAGAGGGTACGAAATTTTCTATTCATTGATGCTGAATACTTTACTTTTCTAGGATCAGTCTTGATAAGCAAAGGCTTTCATAAAACGATGAATCTTCGCAGGAAATCACCGTTAGATAATAATTTAACAGGTGCTAATCGTTTGAATTGTGTTCCAATAAGAAAAAGTTCTTTGAAAAGCGAAGAATGTGATTGTAGGCATTAGGGGTGGGAAGTTACCGTTACGTTACCAAGTAACTAGTAACTCGCAAGTTACTAGTTACCGAGTAACTAGTAACGTCGGAGTTACCAGTTACCAGGTAACTAGTAACTTCGGAGTTACTAGTTACTTTTGGTAGGTAACTTGTCTAAAAAGTGGAGATATCGCTTCCTAATGAGTGAATACCATCATTACAGTACTTATTCAGCTCACGAGTTACCGAGTAACTAGTAACGCACATATGAGTTACTAGTTACCAAGTAACTCGTAATTTAATTGAGTGATGAATAGATGATATTCAGTCATTAGGAAGCGATATCTCGACTTTTTAGACAAGTTACCTACAAAAAGTAACTAGTAACTTCGAAGTTACTAGTTACCTGGTAACTGGTAACTCCGGCGTTACTAGTTACTCGGTAACTAGTAACTCAAAAGTTACTAGTTACCCGGTAACGTAACTCCCGGGTAACGGTAACTTCCCACCCCTAGTAGGCATCATTTCACCCACATCCTACTCTTTGTGAAAATGATTTTGTTCATGGTATCATTTTCAAGAATATTCAATTCCGAATAAACAAACGATTTACCGTATTTTCTACAAGTTTTTCGTAAAAAATTACAAACGTCCCAAAAAAAGACATTCGAAATTTCTCAAAAAGTTGTTAAACATCAAATAATAACTATATTCTTTCGTTTTCTGTTATATTTATTACTTGTGAATGGAAGATCATAGAAAACAAAACAATAAGTCCTCATTTTATTCGGAATTAAGTATTTTTTAAGATAATAGCGTGAATAACATCATTTTCGCAAAGTCTTCTCAGATTTGAAACCAGTCACTTTCAACTTTCTATGTAGGAGAGCTCTCTCCTCACTGTTCATCTATGACATCTTTATATAGAAAGTTATCGATTTAGTAATTTATTGTGGAAGTAACTAAGATAATGGATAAAAATTTACGAACAATATATTTTTGATATATTTTTTTTATAATGTTAAACATATAGTTGAAATCCAGATAATGATTTTAATAGCCAACGGAGTTTTCTATCTAATGCTATCTATTGCAAGATTTCATAGATGAACTATGATGGAAAGGTATCTAAAACAACTCAGCGTGTCCACAGGTAACGCACTCACTACTTTTTGACTTTCGAGTTGTCATAAGTCATCAAAACAATATGACAACCAGCTGAAATTTATACTTCAGTAAGATATATGGAAGTTGTAGTTCCACTAAAATTTTCATTTCATTTGCTCGAATTGTGACGATTCTAGAAGGACTGAAAAGCGTGGTAACGCACTCATTCAAAAGGACCCTTTCATGAGAGTGACCCCAAAAAAGTTCATATTCCTGGCAAGTTACTCGCTCGAAAGAAAATATTTTTATTTGTGTATGACGCCAAGACATTAGACCATTGAATCATAAAATTCTTTTTTTGAAAGTTTGTTCTCACAAACAATTATTACCAAATCATTACGGTAACGCACTCAGCACTTGGTAACGCACTCATCGATTTTTTTTCAGCTCTCTAAAAAGGCACATTTTTTTATAGCTTTAACAACAAAACGAGATGATCTATTGATGTCAAATAGTAGTTCAATCTTCGATAGTCCTACTATTATTTCCATCTTTTTAAATGACCACGTACTGTCCGAAATATGATTGTGGACAGTAAGGCCCTTTTTTCACCATTTTCGCACCAAAAACACTTGATTTTGGCTGGTGACTACCATTTATTCTCGTTCTTTTTCAAAATAAATGATATCAATTGATAGGGAATATACGAAAACCTATAAAAAATTTTTGAATAAATGAATTCGGTTGCCACATGCTCGAGAAATCTTCTGCGCAACTTTAGCCAAGCATGGCCCATTTTAGCAGGACAGGCTGAACTAGACAATGTTGTTTTTAGATCCTAGATAACTCGGTCAGAGTTATTTTCTTTAAAAAGTTAAAAATATGACAAAAACCGTATAAAAAAACAAAATTTATGAAACAACTGGTCAAAAAACGTCTTCTTTTCTGTTTTTGTATTACTTTTAACTTTTTAAGAAAAGATTGTAGGAAATATGGCGATTCTTCATTTTGTATTCTTTATTAAAATAACATTGTTAACAAATAGTTTCGTTAAAGTTTTCTGAGACTTGAAAACGACTGTCTTCGGTTTTTTTTTTGAGAAATCTTGTCATCATAGTTCATCGATGAAAACTTGCTATAGAATGTATTAGTTTGAAAATCCTATTGACTATTAAAATCGCTATCTAGATTTGAGCTGATTACTTAACATTATTAAAAAAAAGTCAAAAATATATTGTTCTTAATCCACCACATTGTATGATTTTTATTATTCAAAATTCTTTCTTTATTTTTCAATTATTTTAAAACAATTACATATTAACTTTATGTCCATTTTGTTTTAATACATCAATAGCCATATCTAAATGTTTATCTTTAACCATGACATAATCTGTATCAAATGTTGATATTGCTAATATACCAATATCTGCTTTAGCTAATGGATTAAGTATCGATGTTAAGACACCTGTCATATCAAATGAAAATGGACCTAGAAATTTGAAACATTTCCAATTTCGTTCACATTGAATATCTTTTGGTAATTGATCATTATCAATTGTAATTATTGATAGCTCATCATTTGTTTTTGTTATTGAACAAAATGGACCATTGAATGCCCATGATGGCACTGATGATGAAGATGGAAGACGACAAATAATAAAATTTTCTTTCAAAACATTAAGTGTTAGTGTTGTAGATTTTGACATGAAGAAAATAATTTATATAAAAAAAACAAAAAACAAAAAAACTTTATTTTATCTTCACTAGAAAAATAATTTTGAATTTGATTCGATTTAAATTAACATACTTATTTGAATCTACCAATCAAAATTTTACAACTTGCCACTAAAATGTAATGAAAATAGAGAATTTTTGTGAATTTCACAAAACGAATTATTACTTATGTTTTCTCACAATAATATCTACATGAATTTCGGAATTTTCAAATAACAAAAATCTTTTATTCTAGTCATATATTCAGTCAAAAAAAATAATTTTTTTAGAGAAAACAAGCTCTAAATATCTTTGAAAAAAGAACTAATTTTTGTGTCTTAAACACATTTTACAGATATTTAGTCATCAAAAACCATCTGTATGAATAGAAGAGGGCGTACATCGACGGTGCCTGAAAATGAACTGAATAAATAATCAATATAAAAACAAAAAAAATTTAATGATGTTGAGAAATATCACTACGCAGAGTTTGAAGCTATATGAATATAATTCCATTTTTGTATACAATGCGAATGGGTATTTTGAGCGAGCGAAAGATCACACCCTGAACCTCTCCTAATGTTGGAAAATTTTCGTCTTTTTCTGGAGAAGCTGAATGCTTTACGTCGGTTTTTTTGCTCATCAATCCTCGCAACAAGAGTTTCGTCAAGCTTGGTGACTCTGAAATACCATCGACAATTTGACTCCGCATTGACTACTTGTCTCGTTTGATATATGATAAAACTTTCTTTCGAAAAATGAAACTATGTTGCACTTGAGATTAAGCTACTTTTTATCTTTTACTTCATGTGACATTGTACATGGATTTCATCGCATAAACATTTGACTTACTATTTAAAAAAAAAAGTGAATTGTACCAATTTATAAACTAGAATCTTTGCCTCGTGTACAGACATAGTGATGCCTTGCTTGTACTCTCATTTATTACCAAACTAGGTGAGTTCTTATGCAAAACTACAATAAAAAAACAATTTCAAAAGATAAAATCGATGAAATGTATACGAGTATAATAGTATTAAGTAGTCTGATCAGTTTTATATAAAGAATTTTCTTTTTCTATTTGCTTCTTAGTTGACAATTGAAAGTCAAATATTCATATCGATTTAATCTGGCATGATTAGCATATATAAATCAGAAAATATTCGGAGTTTTACTTCTTTTTCTTTTTATCTTAATATTTATTTAACATATATATATAGGTATCACTTGAGCTTGAATCATTCTTATCATGAGATATCAAAAGACAAAAAAAAAGAAGAGTTGTTTTATTAATGTTTGGTTTATATCTTAGACAACCATGACGTATCCTATTACCTATTATATATAAATTCTAGACATTCTCATGCTTTTTGAATATTCATAGACATTAAGTATTCTGCATTTGAATCATGCAGTACTCTTATTACAATCAAAATATTGTAACTCAAAATCAATATCAATTATGGAAACAAGTTTGGCCGGCAGGACCTGTTGCTCTAATTGCAACTAGCCAAATGATACTTACATGGGCTATTGTTGGCATTGAAACATGGAGTATGCTTTTAAGTGTACAACAATCATTTTGATTTATTGGTTATATTGCTTCTTTTTTCTTTACAATAACTTGGATATCAACGTTCACTGTTGGTAAGAGTGTAATAAAATGATTATTTATATATAAATTATCTTTTTTGTTTGGTTATAGTTTGTTGTTGTCGAGATGCTCAAGGTTGTGCAACTCATGCATTAGTAGAAAATATAATTACAATTATTGCATCAAGTGTTTTATTGTATTATGATGTTCAGTTTCTTCGTAGTCCTTCGTCATGCTTTTGGTCATATACCACATGTTTTGATCTGTTTTTTAACTGGCACTGGGACGTTTTCTCGAATTTTTCTTCTCTCAATATTCTACAGGCAAAACTTACTGCAATTAAAGTACAACTATCTTGTGCTGCTGTAATGCTTGCTTTGGGCGTACTCTATTTTATTATTTATTTATATGCCGCTGTAAGAGTAAGGAACACATCAAGAGATATCAATCCACAAGCTATAATGGAACTGAAACCTCGATAAGGACCATTACAACCACCACCAAATATATTTGTGGCAGGACAGATACCTGGTTTGCCTACACCATCGTATTATTAATAAATGAACTGTTACATTTATCTTAACAATATTTTTGATTTGTTGTTGTCAAGCTTTCTATTTTATAATAAAAAGATACTATGTACTTGAAAAGATATCATTGAAAATTTTATTATATAGTATAGACTTACTTCTAGCATTAACAAAAAACTTGTCTTTTCTTTATTTAAAATGTGAGATTACATCTTGCATATCTTATTAGAAACATCTTCAGATTTCTGAAAAAGTAAAATTGTCAGAATCATCATCATATGAGCCAGTCCATATAACTGACGATCGAACTTGCTTAATCAAGGTCGTAAGATTTGGTTCAATCTAAAATATGCTTTAGATGGAAAAGTTTTATGAATTTTGACGTAAACCGTGTTAAAAAATATTAAACACTCGATTTTTATGAATGTCTTACGAAAAATCCTAAAAATTACCATTTTGACCGGGGAAGGACTTTTGATGGAGTCATATTTTAAGAATTGGAGATGTATCTTCTTTGAAAAATTTAGTTCTCTACATCATCTCGTTTGGTCAGAAAGATTGTCTTAAAAATGGATTTTTGATAAGAATAGAAGTTTTTAGGAAAGGTTATCTCCCAAGAAATAGGACAGTTTGAGAGCTAGCCTTTAGAAGTTGGAAGTAGTCTCTGTGGTCTACACTAACATAAAAAGAACTAGTGTCGGATTTCCAGAAACGGTTTGCAATGACAGTTATCTTTAGAAGATTCGTATGATGTACATAAACTTTGTGCAGGACTTTTCGTGTTCGATTCATAGCCTTTTTTTTAGCTATTAGATCTTACTTGAAAACATCTATTTTACTTTCAATAATATTAAATAAGAACAATTTTTGCTTTTCACATTCAAGTTTTGTTTGAATGTGTACTTTAGTTATATAATGATTTCTAATCCATTTTTGTCTTGTTTTTATCTAATCATTTTCTCATAGCTTTCAGAAAATATCGTGAGGCTTATATGCAAAAGAATACTTTCAGTGCTCAATAAGAGCACATATTGAATAACTACTTTGATTACAATGTAAAATATTCGACAAGAAAAAACATACGATGTTGTTCATAGACGAGAAAGTAAACCGTTGTAAAGAAACTTGTGATGATAATTCAGTATATTACTAAATGAGTCCTGATTTTTACTAACTATTACACTTCAGAATGTATATAATATGTTTTTTTCTTCTATTTTCATTACTTAACGATTACTAACTTTTTGATTGTTCTGTGGTATGGTGTATATTTTATCTGCTATATTATTTTTATTCTGTCAAATAAACAATCATGTATTTTTCTACACTATAAGAAGACGTGTTTACAATGGAAAAAAACAATATCTTATTATTCACACATATATTTTTTTTACCAAAAAAACCTTAGTTAGGATGTATACAATACAAATTTATACTGATTAATCAAAACTATTTCGAATATATTCCTAGACATGGTGTATCATCATACATTTTCGATCAAACTTATGATAATTCTAGTATCGATAGCAATGGTGCATCAAGAAGTTTTATTGATATTCATTCAATTTCAACAATTGCTAAGGACACTGATTCAATGAATAATTCAAATATTTCTCACAATTTCTCTTCGTTTAGTATGTTTTCGATTTGTAGCGCATTTAACTTTGGGATATAGAGAGACGAACATGATTATTGTGTTCTCTATCAAAGATTGCCTATAACTAATAGCTAGAAAAGATTTTAAATCAAACGTGAAAAATAGTGTAACAAGCTTATGTACCTCATATGAACCTCCTAAAGATGACTTTCGTTGCAAGCAGTTTCTGGAGATCCAGCGCTAGTTCTTTTTATGTTAGTGTAGACCACAGAGGCTACTTCCGACTTCTAAAGACTAGCTCTCAAACTGTCCTATTTCTTGGAAGATAACCTTTCCTAAAAACCTTCATTCTTATCAAAAATCTATTTTTGAGACGATATTTCTGACTGAACGAGACGATGTAGAGAACTGAAGTTTTCAAAGAAGATACATCTCTAAGATTTCTTCCTACAGTCAAAATTTTAGACCTCTACTCATTCCAATCAAAAGTTATAAAGTACCAAAGTTGGTCAAAATGGCAACTTGTCCGTGTATTCGATAGTTCATAAAATTCCAATGTCTCAATATTTTGAGACGAGCATTTAATTATGAGTAAAACTTATCAAGATCTATTTCAAGAGAAAATTTCAGCCGAATTGGCAGAGCCATACCATCATTATTATGAGATATCGAAAGAAGAAATGATTTCTTTTATTAATATTTGATTTGTATCTTAGACAACCATGATTTGTTATATTATCATCTATTTTATAAAAACTCGATACATGTTCATTATTTTTAGGTATTTACAAACTTTTAATATTCTATATCTGAATCATGGAGGATGCTCATAATGGTAAAGGAATTACAACTTAAAGTCAACAATGGCAACATGTTTCACCAAGATCACATATTCCTGTAATAGCAATTAAGGAAATGATATTTACATTTGTTATTATTGGTGTTGAAACATGAAGTATGACATTAAGTATACAATTTTCATTTTTATTAGCTGGTCATATTGCTCTGTTTTCTTTATAATAAGTTAGATATCAATATTCACTGTTGGTAAGAGTCTAACAAATGATTAGTTATACGTAAATTATGTTTTTTTTTATGTATAGTTTGTTGTTATTGGAAATCTCGAACTTGTGCAACACACACATGTATTGACGGAAAATCTTCTTTCAATTATTACATCAATTGTTTTATTGTCTTTTGATATACTCTTCCTGATTTAGTTCATATTTAGATGTTGAATGGCAAAAACTTCTTGCAATTGAATTACAACTATTTCGTACTATTATAATGCTTGTTTTAGGCATAATTTTTTTCTTATTTATATGCATATGAGTTGGACCACCAAATGTAATTGTGATAGAACAAGAATCTGCTTTGTCTACATCAACGGATTTCCACTAAATAAGTCTAATTTATTTTAAGAATATTTTTGATTTGTCACCGTCAAGATTTGTATTTTATAATAAAGAGACTCTATGTACTTGAATAGACATAGTTTCAAATCGTAAGTACATGGTATGCGTTGACTTTTATCATAGACAGAAGATTTATCTTTTCTTTATATAATATATGAGATTACATCTTACATATCTTATTGGAGAAATCTTCAGATTTATGAAAAAGGAAATTTTCGAAATTGTCATCATGTGAGAAGGAAAAATTAGCCGAAAATTCTTATAGTTTTTACACATGAGTTTCTACTCTCTAAGAAAAATTCATTTTAATACCGAACCTTTTTTTGAGTTCAGCAAGAACTGCGAAATCCTAAAATGGTTCTTTACTCGGATACACTTTCGAAACCTTTGCTACAAAACCTTTTTGAGAGCCGTAGGATGAAAAATGATTCAGTATCCAAAATACGACGCCATTGAAGATCAATACGAATCCTCCAGGATATAACACAAAAACCTGTAAAGCTTCGTTTTTAAGGTTGAATGATTTCGTATTTTGGATACGGAACTCTTTTTCGTCCTACGGATATCATAAAGATTTCCTTGCAAAGATCCCGAGAAAGTAGCTGAGCGAAGAACCATTTTAGGTTTCGCACTACCACCGAACTTAAAAAGACTCGGTATAAGTTCGTGCGAAAATTATTGAATAACGATCACTTCAATATTTGCTGTTATAATTTTAATAGTAAAATTAATCCATTTTTTTTTTGTAAACAACAGAGTTGTAGAACACATAAATGTGCAACATAGACGAAATATTAGTGAATTTAAAAAGTAATGAATCTCCAAGAAGAAAGGCATTAGAGTCATGTGGATTGTGCAAGATGTCTCGAGTTCATTGATACTGCTAGAAAATAATATCGCATTTTTCGCTAGTACATGTATTACTAAGGATGAAATTATGGCCAAAAATTTTTTTGATCGAGGCCAAAAAACGATTGGTTCTGCTCATCACTAACAGAAATGGAAGATATTTTAGAAAGCAAATTTATGAACGCTATTCGATAGATTCTTACCAACATTTTCCTATTTTGCGTTTGTTCTTTCGACACATTTTCTTGTTGAATATTCACTGTTTTTAATGTTTTGCTTTCGTGATACCCTATTTAATGAACATTAGCTAAGAGTAAGAGTTACTTTTTTTGATTTTAGGACATGGAGAAAAGATTTTCCTACAAAATGGATTATATATTTTCCTTATTAGTAAGTCGAGAAGCCTGAATAACAGAACTGCTCCTATGAATTATGCGATGGCTCGAACGGGCAGTCAGAATTTCGAATCGATCCGAAATTTTTCTCACTAATCCTCATAAAAAGCCTTATTTCTACGAGTACTTGGCAGACTCCATAGTGGTTAGACGTATACATTTTCGTTAAAACGTGATTATCAGCAACACAGATGTAGGTGTCGTTGTCAATGTGGTTTAGAGTGGATGTGGATGCGAGTCTTCTCGTCATCCACACTTCATTTACTAAGAGCTACGCTATATGCAACAAGACAATGAGAAGCAATACTAGTTAAAGTAACAAAACAATATTGATATTATATTGTTGTTATTTCGTCAGATATTTTTGTTATGTTTTACTGTTAAACTTATTATTAGTTATTTGTAGTGTTCTTTATTTTGTTTTTGATGAAAGAAAAAAAAAGATTACAATAAAAAAGTGAATTCACACGAAATAAAAAGATCGAAAAATTGCTAACATTTATGAAGAAACATTGATTAGTTAAAAATAGATCGGAACAGCATCACTTGGTACTCCTACTGAACACTCCGCTTTTTACGTTGGTACTTGTTGCATTCAAATAATAATTATCTCAAAACACCACGTCAGCTCTAATAAGATCAAAACAGACTGTTCAGCACTACAGAATGTATCAACTCTTCATAAGATTTCGGATTTTTGAGAAATTAATGAGAGGAATTTGAGATCAAACCAAAATTCATATAACACGTTAGAACCTTCAAATGTAACTAACATTCTTTTCGACTTTAATTGCAAAAGGATTTTGTTTGTTTTTTAAAAACTTAGTGAGACTTGAGAAGTTCGAATGAAATCCACTAGGTATTGCAATGATCAATGGTTGTTCCAAACATGACCTGTTTTTGGTGACGAAAAACATTGAAAAATGTTTCTACTAGAAAGAACTGAAAGATATGAGAGAATTATTAGGAGCCTATACTAATGTTTACTCTGTAGCAAATGGTTTTGAAATCTATACAAATATATAACCTTTTGAATAAAAATATTAACAGTGTAAAGCATGACCGACATTTATTGATTTCTTTGTATGAATATTACAATCGAAATTTGACTGATTCAATAGTAAAATATTAGATAATATTTATTCTTGTTAATTATTATTTTCGAATTCTTTTATTGATGGACTATGAAAAAATTATTGATAATGATATCTCTCATAGCGTAATCTTTTATTGAAGAAACTCAGTCGAAAAATTATAATACGTATTCTGAATTGTAGAAATTTTAAAATTGTCTTAATGATTTTTTTTCTTGATAAATATTTTCATTGTTCCATTTCAACTTCTTTAATAGCCGTATAGATACCATTAGGAAATAAAATTTCTAAACGTTTCTTACGTAATTCTATTTCACGTTCAAATAATTGTTGAACTTCTTTAATTTTTTCTTCATCAATAAGCATTTTTTTAGCTAATGCATAAATAGCTGTAATTTTGTCTGCTGTTAATTCTCCACCAGCTGATGCAGCACAAAAAGCATCATAAAAAATCCATAATTGACCATATTTAGCATGTTCAAGACCACTTTTTGAATGATATGGAACAGTACCATCTTCGATATTGGGTTTGTATTTATCAGCTAAATCTAATATTTCATCTGTTACACCTAAACAAAACAACAAAACAAAAGTATTCATGTTCTTTTTTTGTTTTCATCGTCTAATAAATAATACAAACCCATAGCTGCTAAATATCCTGATACCCATTTTCTTGTTTCTTCGTTGACTTTCGAATCAGCTGCAGCTACTTTTAAAACACCTTTTGCATGAGCCAAATTAGCATAAAATTTACGTTGTGTTTCTTCTTTATGATTGTATTTTTCTTGATGGATCCATTCAGTAATTAATTGACGTGTAGGATTAGTAGGATTTTCACTCATTCTATTCATATAAAAAATTTGAGATATTTTATTTATAGGTATTTAAACAATATAGTTATACATACTCAATATAAACTAAAAGTAGTTATGAATAATTTAATGTTCTATGCGCAATGAAATAGAACAAAATACAGACGTTCTTATATAGTTGCAGCATATGAAAAAAAAAAGTGTAATTAGTAAGCTTAATGATGCAGAACGAATTTTTTTTTCTTATGATTGTTAGTTTATTTTTATAGATGTGCTCTTTAACAGATAGAAATAGTTGAATGAATACAAATATTTTCAATTATTAAAATTAATAAATTAATTCATTTTATTGAAAAAATTATGATTATTGAGCATTTTTCATGTAAAGAATAAATAATCTTTTTTAATGTTTTATTCAAATACTTAGTATAATCAATGAATATATTTGAATGCTCTGAAAAATAGAATAAAATAAAAAAACTCAGCATTTGATTTGTTTATACATTGTCATTTCAAGCTTAATGATAAGGACGTGGTGGAGCTGCATATGGACCTGGTGGTCCGTAATATCCTTGCATGAGAGGTCTTCCACCAGGCATCATCATTGGTCCACGAGGTCTAGGCATCATTGCTCCGGGTACTTGTACTTGATATGGTGGCATAGAACCAGGTGGTAGTGGTGGTCTCATCATCATTCTAGCTCCTGGCATTGGTTGTTGTGGTGGAGGCATCATCATTCTAGCTCCTGGCATTGGTTGTTGTGATGGAGGCATCATCATTCTAGCTCCTGGCACTGATTGTGGTGGCATTGAGATATAACCAGGTGGTGGTGGAGGCATCATCATTTCAGATCTTGCCATTGGATTTTGTGGCATTGGCGTAGTACTATTAGGTGGTACTACAGGATCAAAAATAGGTGGTGCCCATCCTCTTTGAATATTTTCAAAAAGTGTTGTACCACCAATACCATATTTAATAAAAAGAACAAGAAAAATGAAAACTATATAAAGAAGAATAATTAGAATGAATATTTCAAAAAATAAAAAATAAATAACCTGATAAAAGATATAAAACACCCATAACAACTTGACCTGTATAAAATGATCGAACTGCCGAATATGTATACCATAAATAATGACAACCACTAATAACAAGACAAATTTTTGAATTCATCAAATAAAGTATATCAAATGCTGCCATGAGAGCCATAGCTATTCCAGCTACTATATTAAATCCTGCAGTCCATTTAAGTTTTGACCAAGTCATTTTTCGAGCTTTAGAAGAAATAAATTAAATTATAAATTTAAAATAAAATCTTATTATTTAATTTCTTACATGAATGAATTGTGCTAACACAAGCAATAAATCCAAGTATAGATGCCCAACATCCAGCAAAAAGTTGCCATCGTGGTCCAAACATAAGAATAATTGGTAAATCAATACCAAGTATAACCAATGTAACTAATAATTGAAAAACGCCAAGTAAACGTACTGCACATAAAGGCCATACTCGACGTAAATGTTTACGCATAAAATCCTCGTATTTGTCTTCATATTCTTCTTTTAATCGCATATATTCTGTTGGATCCACATCTTCTGAACTTTCCATATCCGTTGGTTCTTCCATATTTTAAATTGTTTTTCTTCCTGATAAAAATTTTTAAAAACTGGTTGTTTTTTTTATGTTGATGCTTTCTTGTCTATGTATGACAATTAACTGACGACAAAACAAACATTCACAAAATGTTGTCACTGAATTTTTATAGGTGAAATCGATTAAAAAAAAAACAAGCAACGAACAGTTCGTTTTTTTTTCGAATGTGCCATTCAAAAAGAATTTAATAAAATGAAATTTGAAGAAAGAAAAGAGTATTGATCAAACAAAAACATTTCTTTGTTTTTTTGTTTCAACGACATGATGCGATTTTTTTAATGGCATTGCACTGAGATTATGATAAGTTTTTTGAGTCAAAAGAAAATTGTAAATATCGAATATTAGTTTTTGTCTGCAATAATTTTACAAGACTTGAATTCAAAGTACTCAGTTTATAACAACAAAAAAACTCATCATTGGAAACTTTATTTTAATCTTTATTTCATTGTACATTTTCGGAATTGATTTTAATGAATTCTATGCAATGCTTTTTTTTTATATAAGAACTTCGAATAAGTTAGATGAAAATTGTAAGATTGGAATATAGAAATTGGTCTACAATCGAAGACAAAGTAGCAGAGTCAATTAAATGTCTTACTAACAAATCAGATTTAATCTAGGAAATTTTATTCTTTGATATTCACTATACAAACTAATATGTTTTCGAGATTCGATTGATGTCTTTTTGAGATCTACGTCCATGAGAAGAACTTGGAGTCAATTTCGATTCCGACTTTTTCCTATCTTTGTAAAACCTTGTGAAGTTGTGAATCGAATCGTCGAAATATATCAATTTGTACGAAGAGTAAAACTCATCATTCAAAAGAACCTATAGTATTCAATCTAATTTACTAGCAGGCCATTTAGGAAGCTCTGACTGCTTCTAAAAATTACCCCGATGCAGGCCTTGTTTCTCCCTTGTTCACAATAGACAATGAAGGCTGAAGATTCTTATGAATTGATCGACAAGTATTTGTTTGTTCTTTTGACGCTATGAAAAGCAGATATGAAAGAATAACAATGAACTTTAATTTATTAGAAAATTATGCAAGATTAATCGAGATCTTTGAAATAAAATTATACGATATTAATCTTATATCATATTATTATTTATTTGAATTTTTGTAAGAACAAAAGACTGATAATAAGAGATTCTACTATTAGCATTTTTTTTGAAAACTATTGGCTTATTAAACCTTTGAGTCCGGTAGTAGCAAAAATGCTACACATGTTTTATAATTATCGGCTGTCCCATAATGAATGACCAGTTTTTGTATTTCTTTTTTATCATCTAGTACGTTTACCTTAAAAACAAAATATGCCATAAGATACAGCGTGAAAAGCTCTACAATCTACAAAGCAAAGCTTATTTTAATTGTATACTTTTTGTTTTCAAAAAAAGTAAAATTCTGTGTGATTAATTTTCACCATTGCGAAAAAATCATTTTTTTCTACACGAAGTGAAATTCTTTTTTTTCTTTAGCTCATATATAAAATAAACTGCTCTTTGTAATTGTAGAGCTTTTCATGTTGCATCTTGTGGTATGTTTTGTTTTTAAAATAAACGTACTAGATGATTAAAAAAAAAGAAATACAAAAACTGGCCATTCATTATAGGACACCCGATATTTTTCACAACATAATTTATAAATTAAACTTTCCATTCAAGTGCAGTAAAATTCAATAAAAACCTATATTAAGTAAATCTCATGCGAGTGCAAACGAGATATTTTTGTTATGTGTATCTGTGTGAAACAAGGTAATCTAACAGGCTGTTTCAATTTTATCTATCAGAAATAATTTCGGACTTAAAGGGTTAATTGATTATACTTTAAAGTTAGATAATTAAAAATGAACGAACGATATTTTTCAAAGTTTTCAACTATTTCCCAGCAGCAAGTTGAAATACACCGTTTCTAATGTAAATAATGTATAATTGTTGTATATGTTACATTAAAGTATGACTAATTTCCCATTAAAATTAACGAGATAAATGTCAGTTAGCTCATTATAATTCTCAAATATTGATTTGTTTTCTCATAGATGATTCATTATTAATTAGAAAAAAATAATTTACTTTCACCATCTGAAAAACCAATGATCATATTACAATTATGTGAAGATTTATCAAAACAAAAATCAGCATACTCATATTTTGGATCTATTTTATCTCAATAGTCACTATTCAGTATGCTATGGTTAATGTTTCGAGTACGAAACGTAAATCTACTTGCTGATACGAGTTAGAAAAATCTGCACAAGTTACATAACTAAAAATACTTCTCCAGAAAAACGATGCCAACTTTGCAGAAAAATCTTGCATATTCACTGATTTTTCTAATATTCTTACTCAGAATTTTCATGTAAAAAAAATCCAATATAAGACACAGAATGTTCTCATTGATGTTTAAGAACGATCAAATAGTTCGTTAACTTTTCAAATTACTTGTACGAAGTATTTCAATGAACTTAGTATTATTTGCGATCCACTTGTTATTATTCTTATCAAAAATATTGGTATAATATCAAGGAATATAGATAAAGGAACAAACACTACATTCATATATTGATCTTCTTCGATTTGAAGGCAAAGCTAGACCAATATGATCGTTGATTCAATCATTTGTCCCTATATTGTGCGTATTAATAAATCCAGCATTTATCAATAAGCAAATACAAGTATTCTCTATGGCAGAATATTTTTCAAGTTTTACTCAATAATCAGAATTCTTTTAATCTAATTTTTTATTAACATAATTATAATGACATTGACAGTAACTTTTGTAAAAAACAAAAATCTGAAAATTCATATAGAAATGAATCAAATTATTAAACTAATCAAAACATGTTTCTCCATGTCATTTTTAAAAATATTATTGTTTATATATACATTCTGTTGTACATAGACATGTACCGAGTTCGAACTACTTGGACACATACTCTAGTGTAAACTATGTAACTCGATATGTTATTTCTTAATGACATTTTCTTCAAATGTTCTTGTATTTTCATGCAGTTGAATGATAGATGTATCTTTCTTTAGAGAAATATACTTTTTCGCATAATTATTTCTAATTAATCAATGTTTCTTAAAAATGAAAAAATATCCGTAGAGAAAACAGACAACACTCATGTTAAAACTCAACACATTTTTGTCATTGATGTGTAGAATTTAATGTATATACAAACAAAATTGTGCTTGATATATTCGTTTGATAGTGAAACACAAGATATTCCTCGTTTTATTAATATTGTTTCAGCAAAAATCACTGGAATTTGACATGTATTCATAGTTTTAACAGAATCAATTCATTTCAATCATATGAAAATGTCGATATCATGTTTTTTTTTTCTTTTTATTATGATCTATTTCAAAGAAAAATTCATCTTTGTTTTTTGAAAAGTTTTACAATATAAACTAATAAAACTAATTAAAAATATTAAAAAAAAACAAAGAAAAATGATTCGTACACAGAAAATTAGGTTTTATATATACAAGCTTTGACGTCACAAGAAAGATAGTTAATAATTCCATAAATGCTTATACAATATTCATGATCAGTTCATATTGCATTGTAAAACAACACTGTTTGTTCGTTTTTTTTTTGACACAGATATAATTCTATATTATTATTATTGACCTTGAGAGTCACGATTCAATCAAATTTACATCGTTGCGTGCTTGAATAATTATCCGAATCAATCATCTTCGTTATATTGGAACCTATATTTTTTTTCCTATCAATCAAAGCAAAAATTATCGTTTTGCATCTTTTCAATATTTTATTACTCACTAAATTAGTAGACAAAAGAGAAAAGAAACTGTTCGATCGTATCTATCTATTATCAATCAAGGTGTAATTCATATATTAAATCAAAAAAAGAAAAAAATTAAATGGTGGACACACATATAGTCATGGGAGAAGAAAAAAAGTTTGATAACACTGTTTTAATTGAATCGAATATATCTTTACTATGAACAAAAAAAGAAACAAATAAGAAAGTATTAATTGTCTATTATGTTTTTCGATTACATGCATATCAAAATAATTTTTTTTCGATGAATCAAACTAGACATTCTATTTCATTTAGTTATCATAGATGGTAGGAGTATAGTAAAAATTCGAGAAAAAGGTTCAATGCATCAACGTTAGATCAACAAAAATAATTAGTTATTCTCAATATGTTGAGAATTCTGAAAAGAAAAGTTCATCAAGAAATTAATATTCTTTTATTAGTTGAGCTGCTGCGAAAGTTGAGTGAAATATTGTTTTTTTTTAAATATTTATATATGATTCTATAGAAATAGATAAATTCAACAAGAATATGTATTTCAAAATTTATCTTTTTTTTTCAATAGCAAACTTGAAGAAAATCAGAAAGACTTAACGTTGGATCAGAAAGGGATTACTATATAAATACTATATGTCGAGGTATAGATTAATTCATATTTCGAGATACGATATTATATAGTGTATCTATGAATAATCTTTCTAAGCTCCATGAGTAGATGAAATAGTCGATTGATTAAAGTTATTGAAAGTTTAGTTATATCCCTTAAAATCTAAAATGAAAACTATACGGTCATGATTAATAAAGTAGTTGTCACAAATTTAGAGTTCTGCAAATCGATCCGATCGGCGAGCGGATACAGATCGAACTTTGTCAGATCGGATTGGATCGAGTGTGATGTTATCTTTAAAAAGAGTCTGGTTTTTGTCCGATTTCTTTTCTAGGTACTTCCTCATGATAGATGTAAACATTAATGTATCATGAAGCTGTCGGTTTATATTATCTATAAATGTCATAGTGATAGTTCAAATAATTTTTGAAACGTCTACATAACTTATGATTCTTCTATAAAATACGGACAAATGTATTGAAGTAAAGACAGATTATTGTATTTTCATACTTCAAATTAACCGTAAAATTCTGTATGATATCTCTTCAAATGAGAATAAGAAATTACAATATCATTATTCTATTTTTTTTCACTAAATCTTTCAAGCATGTTAATCCATAAAATTCTTTTCTAATAGACATGTTCTAGTATTAAGATAGCAAATAGGTTTCATTTCAAAACATCTCTATCAATACAACACAGAGGCCATCATCCAAACTCGAACGTTCGAGCTCAATCTTAACTGTAGCCATTTTCAATTAATTAATAAAAGGATGCCGGAAGAAGCCAAAAGAAAGGATTGCAGGCTTGATTATAGTAAATCCATGTGCAATGGAATAAATGATCTAAAAACTGAAGATCCCCAGGCATTCTAAAAAATGTCAATAATGTTCAGAAATACTCGAACTTGAACTTCATTGAACCTTAGGATACTTCCATAGTTGTCTATATACCTCAAGAAATACTTGGACAATTGCATCTGATATTCTCTGTACTACGTAGTTAGATAGTTTCCGAACACCTAACCAGAGTTCAGATTTAGTGCATGTCTAATTCGAACCATCACTTTTAAATTGTATGTTAACGTTTAATATATTTGAGAACATCTATAAAAAAACTCTACAATATTATCATAGTTTTTTAGTAAAGTTGAAGTCATAACAACTGACATCTTGCAAGTGCAATGTTCGTTCAATAAATTATGTAAATATGTCTAAAACTCTTAAATTACATTGATAAAAGAAAAAAATTTTAATGCCAGAGTTTCTTTCGGTATTAATAGCAGAAAAGTTTTGTAGATTTTATAAATTTGTCAATCATTTTTCAATTGTGATATCAAGCCTTTAGTATTTACTCATTATTTATCTTTAATTTTCATTGTTACTTTCTAGGCAAAATGAATCAGCGATAGACAATTATATATTACATTTTTGACTATGACAATATTTTATCCGTCCGACTGACTTTGAACAATGACTAGTTCAGGAACACAATGTTCGGTCACCAATAAAACGATCATAACGTTTCATAATTTCGATACACTTCGAACTATTTTATTCTTCAGTTGATACCTATAACCATTATCTACAAAACTATATATTTCACTTAATTATCTTCATATAGATAACATTAGTTTACGACGAAAGATCGAAACTTTTGGAACATACTTTCATATTTTGACCATTCTTAACTGATGATATAAACCTAAATTTTTTTATTCTATGTTTTTGTCATATATTTTATTCATGTTAATAATAATATTTAAACTACTAATTTTTTTTAAAATTGTATATTTAAATATTGACATAATATGAAGGACGTGTCGGACAAATATTACATAAATTTAATAAGAAATTTGTAATATAGTAAAATGATCTGGTAAGATTAGATTTATGCATCAGAATGAAAGTTCATAACATGTTATGTCATCATAGTTGAAATATGTTTCTTTTTTTTTTTTTGTTTCAACTCTATTATTATCAAAATAGATAGTTGGAAATAGAAAAAAAAAAAACTTGGACTATCATTTATTACTATGAAACATTTTAATTATAAAACAACATAATGACAACTGTAAAAATCTGTTTTTGATTTTTTTTGTTTTAAAATTGAAACAATGTCTAATCTCATACAGACATAGAAAAACGAATATATGAGGAGGGGAATAAAAGTCACCTTACATCTTGGCGCGTGTACACATATATAGAATTTTTTTGATTAATTGATTTGAGTTTTTTTTCGGTAACCTAAGATGTGCGTATATGTCTATACAATGTCGAACTCGTACTGATACACTTGTCCATATATGAGTTAATTATTATCAAGTAAAAAAAAACAGAAACGTAAAAAGAGAGACATGATGAAAACGCCTATACGATGTCATATCCTTGTTGACCTGGCTCAATGCCAAAGAGAAAAAAATAATAAGTTTCTTATACGATGTTAAATATAAACTTTATTTTACACTTGTCTTTTTTTGTTTTGTTCTTTATTATTAATTCATTTGTTATGTTTATTAATAAAAAAAAAAAAGAAAAAAATTAATTAGGCAAAACGCCAAATTATTTTCTTTTTTTTCTTTTTTTAATACTGTTAATCAGGTTTGTTGCTGTTACTTATTCTTTTTTGCTTGCCTTTCATATGTTTAAGTACAGAGGACCCGATAACAGCACATTCGAACGGCAAGATACAAATTACTATCAGCTTGCTGCTGCTTTTACCCTAGTTGATTCTTCATTCTCTTTCGTTCTCATATGTGTCGATACATTGGGGCACATTGATATAGAAAAATTGTTGTGCTCTTTTTTTTTTTCGTTAACATTGCCGCCAAGAACAGCGTGTATCTATGTGTGTGTGTATATATGCCTTGACGAACAGCAGTCAATCCAACAACTGCCGTTGGCAATGAGCCAACTGCGTGCGAACTAGCATGATGTCGATGTCTACCATCATGTGATTTGAATAGAGAAAGAGAACAAGAGAAGAAAAAAAAAGGAGGAGAGAGAGAGAAAAAGAAAGAAAAAAAAATTGTTGTTCTCTTCTTCCAAAATATGATTTTTTCCATTGGTTGGCTCAGATACTACCTCACAATCTAACATACAAATGCGATGGATGTATAGAGAGAGCAGCTGTTTCTTCGTTCTACTTGTGTGTTGTGTCGTGCAGCTGATTCGCCGTTAATGAAAAATAAGGCACCCCTCTTTTTTTTTCTTCTCTGTTTGTGCTTCTCTTCTTCTTCCTCCTCTTGGTCGTCGTCGTCGTCGTCATTTGTATGCATTCCTCTCTCTATTCTTTTCTCGCGCTCTTTTTCTGGTTTCTATTATTACCCTACATACACACACACACACACACACACACACACACACTCGTCGACATCATCGGGTTTGTTCGCGTCGTCGTTTGTTGGTTGTATACGTATTTTTTGCTACGATTAGTACTTCCGACAGATACTCTTCAATCCTATTAAAAGAAAAAAAAGATACAATTCAATATTTAATTTTTAAAAAAATTCGTATGTATTCAATGAATTTCTTTTTTTTCCTCCTCCTCCTCCTCCTTCCCTCCCCCTACTATTACTATTACTACCATTACAATTTTTCTTTTTTTTCCTCTTCCTATTCATCTGTTATTCCTTCACTTCTTCTTGATCATGTGAATGTGACAAAAAAAGAAAAAAAACTTTTTTTTTCTTTTATATAGAAAAAAATTCGATTCTAAACGTCTACATATCTTGAATGTCCTATTGCTATGTGGATGACGATACATCTGATCTAATCTCGCCACAATATCATCATCGTCATTTAATGCCTGAATCACCATTACAACATAAATTATCAGCAAATAATTCAACCACGAATAGTCACGTTAGGTATGTTTGAATAGAAAAGTATTTTTTTTTCTTTTTTTGGCTTTTAATATGTATGAACGCATATGTTTGTATGTGTGTATGTGTATGCGTGTGTACCGAATGGTGTTTGGCTTATAGCCAAAAAGAAAAAAAATGTTCTTTTATTGACTATGAACTGAGTTGGAATATGATACACGACCACATGCATTTTTATATCAAACGTGTTTGTTCTGTTCTTTTTTTTCTGTTCATTTGTTCGTTCACATATATACATACATACACATACACACATATTGGCTAGAGTTCAGTTCACCGGTGAATATGAAGAAGGTTAAAGAAATAGATTCTTTTGTATGTCATCATATCTTCCATTTATATTATGCGTTGATAGATTGACGGATCCATTTAACTGTCAGTGTATATGATGTGCGATAAAAAAACCGATTGTGTTCTACATGTATTGATTAGTTTATTTAAATATTTCCTTTTTTTTTCTTTTTAGTCCTACTGGTTCCGATATGTCTCCAAATTCACAATTGGAACATGAAAAACGTGTACGACGTGAAATTGCTAATTCAAATGAACGTCGTCGTATGCAATCAATAAATACTGGTTTTCAAAGTTTAAAAATTCTCATTCCTCATTCATGTGGTGAAAAACTTAGCAAAGTATGTTATGTCTAAAACATAACGAGACGTTCTAATATTAAAAGAGGAAAAAGAAAAGAAAGAAACGGAAAAAGTCAAGGATAAGTGGCAACAGGTTCAAAAAACATATCGGAAAAAACTATAATTTTTATCTCATGATGTTATCCTAATGACTTGATTAAAAAAAAAAAAAAAAAAAAAGAGAACAACCGAGTTTCTATTAACCTATATTTAGGCATGTATACTTCAACGTGCTGCTGATCATATAAAAAGTCTTGAAAATGAAAAACTTAAATTACAATCTCAAAATGAACAATTTCGTATATTAATAAAAAGTTTTCAAATTGATTCAACAAGTGTTTTACAAGCACAACGACGTTTATCAACAAATGGTAAATTTAAAAATTAATTATTAAAATTTCATAAAAATAGACAAAAATTTTTTTTTTTTTCAAGATCCAGATGAAACTATTCTATTACTGAATAATGAAATAAAACCTATTGGAAATTCTGATGATACAAATGATGATCAATTAAGATTATATCATGATATTAAAAATCGTCATACATTAGTTCAAAATTGGCATGATGTTACACAATATGTTCAACAACAAAAAGATGAACAACAACAACATTATTATCCAATATCATCATCATCATCATATCGAACTAATACAAAACAATCACCAACATCAGATACAACATATATGATTGTCAAACAAAATCAACCTAGTCAACGTTGTTATAAAACAAATTCACTTGATCAACATAATGATAATGGTATTGTTATCGTTGAACGATGTCAACTCAGGACACAAAGTGTTGATACAAATAATAATAATAATAATTTATCATCATCATCATCATCAAATTTAACTGATCATACAGTAGCACGTCGAAATTTACAAACAATTGTTGAAGCTATTCGTCATGTAGAAGGTGATGATGCATTATCAAATATAACTTCAACACAATCAACATCACAAAAAGAAGATTTACCAGCACAGATAAAAGCAATGATTAATGAAAAATTTCAACAGCAACAACAACAACAACAACAACAACAACATATAAATAAAAGTTCATCATCAACAAATACAATTTATCAACAACCAATGAATATTTATGATCCACAGCAAACATTATCAACATCACATGATATTGATTTACATCAAAAACCGCCTAAAAAACGAAAAATAACTTATAATGAAAATGATGATACTATTGAACAACACACAATTATACAAAAACAAGGTAGATATTTTTTTCATGAATTTTTTTTATTTAATCTAATTTATTCTAAATAGATTTACCACCAATATCAAGTCCAGATGTTCATCATCATGAACAAATCTCAAGTGAATCATCTCCACCTCAAACAATTATCTCAAATTTAGTTGTACGTTCATCACCACCAACAGTAGCTCAGTTATTACAAGAACATTTAATACAACGTTCAGTACGTTATCCTCCACCTCCATTATTAACAACAAATATTCAACGACATCAACAACATTAACAAAATAAAACAGGTGAACATTTATTATTATTATTATTACTCTTGTTCTCGTTTCCTATCCCGGTTTGTACTACTTTTCCTCTTTTTCCTTTTTTTTCTTTTTCTTTTTTTGTAAATATATACATATACATATTTTCTTTTGTGTGTTGTGTATTCTCCTGTAAGAAAGAAAAAAAAACAATAAGACCAAAAATGCTCATTGTGTTGCTTCTTTTGCTGTTGTTTGTTTAATGTGTATGTGTGTTTTTGGCTCAAGTATTTGAAAAGGACAGTGATATGCATTCTTATGTGCTGTCTCTATTCTTTCTTGTGTGTGTGTGTGTCTTGTGCGATCAAACTGTCCCTTTTCTAAGAAAGAAAAAAAACAAAAAGAATAGTACGATTCAACACATCACACATTCGTTCTGTTGACTCCTTTCTTTTTTTAGCGTTTTGTTTCATTGTTCACACCGGTCTTTTTTCTCTCTCTCTCTCTCTCTCTCGCATTTTATTCGCGAAAAGCTATGCATCTTTTTTTTTTTGTTGCTTCTGTTTTGGTTTGATGATGATGATGATGATTATGTATATGGTATGCGTTCTTTAAACTTTTTGTCACTCATATGCGATCAATGAGTGTATGTTTTTTGTGTGTCTTTGCCCGTTCGTTTTGATGAAGCTTGTACATTTGTACAGATAAAGAAAAACAAACCAGCATTAAAAAAAAATTTTTTTTGTTTTTTTTTTTTTCGATTCATTCAATGAAACGCAATTGGACAGCTGTTCACAGATGCTATCGAGCATTAATAGGAAAATGTCAGTAGGCAGTGACACCATCTGATTCATACATTCCTGAAGTTCTTTTCTTTTCTTTCTTTTTCTTTTTGATACGAATCCAGAACAGGAAAAAGAAAAGGACGAACGATAAATAATAGTATGTTTAAAGTAAATGCGTTCTTTTCACTCTTTATTTGCGTGACTCAATTGGGATGTCTACATGACAAAAGATATTTTTCGAATTAAATTATGTTATGTATAATACTATCATTTTTTTTCTATTCAAATCTGTCATCTATTAAATATTGATATATCTGTCATTTGGAATAGTAAACACATATGTGAATCGTCAATTATTTCTATAAATTAAAACATATGCATTCTAATGCAATGAAAAAAATTGACAAAATCCAACTGTTAGTACTTGTAACAAAGAAATTTTTTTTTATTCAATTAGAAAGATGAAAAATTTAATAAAATTTTTAAATGTTCTATTAACTTAAATAATTTTTATAAAAAATCTCTTCTAGAAACATTCCAGTTAACTTGTTTGATTCAATAGAATAATGCTTTTATTCATGTGCATCTATATAACTGTCAATACCAATTCATAAATCGATTATAGCCTATAATCTCATGAGTTCATCTAACCATGAATTGTCGGTTTATATAAGCATGCTATAAACTTCCGATGAAAAAAAAGCCTATCAGAAGACAAGAGAAATGATAAATGTGATGATCGATAGAATTTGTTTGATTAGAACATGCGTTCTATAGTGTCACGATTATTTATTATAACAGATTGACAGAATAAATAATAATATAAAGTATAAATAAGTGATCTTCTTAGAAGACAATAGTTTTTTCGATTTTTATTCGCCCAAAAAAAAGAGAACAAAAAAAGTTTTTTATTATAAATTTTGATTGATAGTCAATTGTTCTGTTTTATTTTTATTTGAACTTGTTTCAGATTGTTCAATAGATTTTTCTAATTTCTTATTTATTATATTTAATGATTGAATATCATTTTTTATTTGTATATTTGATACTTTTTTATTTGAATGACGATTAACACTTGAACCAGGAAAAGATGCAAGAATCATTTTTATTTGATAGTATGAATAGGCTAACCATCGTTGTGTATCACTTAAAATTGGATATAAAAAAGATGTTTTCATTGCCATAAGACTACCAGAACGAATAGTAACATATAATGTTACAAGATCATATTTAACTGTTGTTAATGCTGCTGATACAGCATGATAACGAAGTATTTCTCCATTTAAATCTGCTTTAGTAACATATCCTTCAATTGTACCTATTTTTTTAACTAAATGACGAAGATTACATGCAAATACACGTAATACTCGTCTATAATCTAATAAATAAAACTTTATTGTTATTAATAGAATTTATATTTAAATAATTTCTTACTAGGTGAAAATCGTACAATCCATGATGGATGAATTAATCGAGTTGTTTTCATATCATAGAATGTTGATTTAGACATGGCACTAAATAAAACAAAGAAATAATTAAAATTTCACAGATTTTTGTTTTTCAATATTAAACAATTTAAATAGTGTGTATGTATTTTTACTTTTTTCAATTTAGTTGATTCATAAATCAAATAAAAACTGCTTTTGATTTTTGTATAAACATGACTAAACAAAGATGTCATGTTCACTTCTCAAACTTTATGATTTCAATCTCATCGATCAAATATGACTTGCGTAGATTTTATCACAGTCTAGAGTTGAATTAAAGGTGTAAGAAAAAGTCAGTGTTTAATTGTATATATGTTATTTACATAAACGAATTTTAGAAAAAACAAACAAAGCAAGAAAAGTTCTCAATCATAATAAAAAAGAATACAAATCTTCAATGATATTTCGAAATTTGAATTAAGAAAGAAATATGATACACAAAATTGATTTATCTTATCTTACCAAATACGACGCATTTTTTCTCCATAAGGTATAAAATCAGTATCTAAATTAATATTATATAAAGATATACAAGTTGAATTGGTTAACTGTGTATTATTTAATAAATTTTTATTATTATTTCTTATTGATATTCGTACAACATAATCAATTACAATTGTATTTAAAACAAATTCACATAAACTATTTGCATATTCAGCATATTCAGTAAGAATGTTTAAATCAAGATAACCGTATGGATTATATCGATTCGCATTACATAAAGTCATTTTTTAATTAAGTATTGACAAAAAAAAAATATCGATGCCGATTGTTACAGAAAAATAAACAAAAAAAGTATTCAAAGATTGATGACTATTGACACTATGGTAACATTTTCTGATAAATATTTTGTTTCATTTTATTTATTTAATATTGAAAATATCATGAATACAAACATTAGTCTTCTATTATTACATTATTGTAACCATGCAATAAGAAAACATCTATTGTACACTCTTCGTTTCATTGATATAATCAAATAAACAATTCACAACTCCCATCTAGTTTTATAGGTACATCTATTACATTTCAGTCTTTATTTATTTTTCACTAAGAAAAAAAATAATATCTGATTCTAATTTTATCACACTATTGACAATAAAGGTATATCGTATATTTCTTACCAACTGTCTAACCTTTTTACTATCATTATGCTTGTATGTAAAATAGAACAAAAAAGTTTAACGTACTCGATGACCGAAACATATATATATATATATTTATATTCTTATTTTAATCAGCGATACATTTTTATTAATAAAATCTATTTATAAACAACGGTATAACATTTCTCGACAAAGTGAAAACGAAATTAAAATTGTTATCAGAGATCTTAATGTGAAAGAAGTTAATCGAACTTGCTCACCTTTCTCAGTTTTTATATCGTATCTGCAAAAATGTTGACCTGTTTGTTAGAAAAATGCCTGCTTCATTTTAGACGACAACTTTTTTTCAGTCATTTTCTGTCAGATGGAATGCTTCTGACTGTTTGTCAAATTTTTAGTATCCTTCCACTTTTAGAAATTATCGCGAATCATGGTTAGCATTTCAGAACGAGTATTGGGACCGTACACTATGAAATCGTCTCCACTTACTCAAGAGGAAGAAACTGTTTCATCATCCTTCCCTATTTAAACATACGAAATATTATTTCTTCATTTAACTATCTTTTCTGATCATATAAAAATTGTATATGAACTTGTACGATTTTATATGTTAATCTTAAAGTCACTATTTCTGAAAAAAAATCGTACTGGGACGATTCTTGTATGATTTTAATACTAGGCATTATACGATTCATGCATAACTTTCTATGGTTTCCCATAACATTGCATACCTGATTTTCGTCTTCTATCATCTTGTTTTCTTAAGAAAATCTTTCTTGTTTATTTGTATATCGATATTTATTTTTATTGAATTTAATCATTATCTGTGAAGCGATTTTTTTTTGTTATAGATCAGCACTACTACATATAGCAGACGTATTTTCAATTGTAAAAAAGTATTTTATCGCTTGAAGATTAAAATTAGACGCACAAAACTATCATTATCAAAACTATTTGCACAAGTGAGATCTAAAATTATGATCTCACGAGATTCCAATTATTAGACTTTGCAAGAATCTTATAGTAAGAACCATATAAACTTCACATAAGCATCTTATAGTCAGATAAATATTAAATCTTACGACATCTGATTGTCAGTAAGATCTTATACGATCTTCACAAAATTTTGCCACTTGGGTATGTTATAATTGAATGCAATTGTGTAATATAATCGTACACGTTATCTGCGTTTGAACGCATGGTGCCCTATACGACGATCATTTTTTGACGTGTTTTGTAGTATACGGCTGTTTACGATTGTGGTTTTTTCGATCTGGAATTCTATTTCTATTAATTTCTTGAGCCTATGATAAAGATTCATCACGAAGAGTGATATAGAAAATTATTTATTTTAGACTTTTGACAAAATTAATATTTCTTGTTTAACATGATTAACAACTATTTCCATTTTTCAAAAGTTCATTTACAAAAATTTAACACATAAGATATAATGATGTTATCTTTAGTTAAGATTAGGCATAGAAGGTCGTATAGTGTAAGCTAAAAGAATGGGTCAAATGAATGTTTCGCACTATCAAACTAGCTAATTTTAAATATGCGCTATTTATAGAGTGCAAAGATTGAGATATTCAAATTTCAACCTATTTATAGTCTATGTCATGTTGCCATACTTTAACATTTCAGTATTATTTATTTTTCTTTTTTCATCATGGTTGGATCGAGTTCGGCAAGTTACATACTCAGGTCAATGATTCCATCACCCGAATCCGCAAAATTCCGACAGATTCTCGCTGAAAAGACGCCATTTCCGGCGAGAAAAATGGTAAAAACTTGGATCCCAGAATTCGGTAGTTGGCTCGACTCGAAGACGGTCGTTTACGACCGGAACTAGAAAAATTTGGCCTCAGTATGTAATTTGCCGAGCTCTAACCAACTATGACAAAAAAAGAAAAATAAATAATACTGAAATGTTAAAGTATAGCCACATGAAATAGACTATAAATACCTTGAAATTTAAATATCTCGATCTTTGCACTCTATGAACAGCGTATATTTCAAATTAGTTAGTTTGATAGTGAGAACATTCATTTGATTCGAATATGATCAATCTCTTTAACTTACACTATACGACCTGTCATTATAAGAAACTATTCAAAAAACAACTAAATACATTCCATATGTATCAAATCTTATCAAATGTTTTCCCATTGAATTTTGCAGAATAATCATTTTCTCGTCCGCAATTATCAATTTATTTAAAAAAGCAAATTATTTACAAAAGCATTCGAATAAATATCTGTTTTTTTTTTAAAAACTAAAAAATAACCCTGAGAAAAAAAACTATATATATATATGTTACTAAAACATACAAAAAAAAAAAGATTTCATATTGTTATTCCGATGCAACAATAGAAAGAGATTTAATATTAGCAAGTTTAGCATTGATTTCATCTAATGTTGCCGTACTATTTGTAACAACATCCATTTGACCAATAAGATTTCGATAAGCAGCTTCAAGTTGATCACAATAATGAGCCTTAAATAAAGAAAGAAGAAAACAATAAATCGAATAGATTATTTTGATTATTTGTATAATATTACTTGAGCTTCAATAAATGCTTCTAAACATGGATAAACAAAAGCAGCACGTTGTTCATGTAAAATAGGTAATTCATTATTTAAAATTTGATTTTTTAATTCATATTGTTGTTTAGTATCATTTAATTGTTTTTTTATTTGTTCTAATTTATTATTATTTGCTGTATTTGTCATTACTGTTAATGATGTTGTTGATGTACCAAATTTTTCATTTATTTTATCTAATTTATTTTGAATTTTAATATAATCATTTAAACTTTGTTCACGTTTTTTTATAGCATTTGTTACATTAGCTAATGCTAATGTTAAACGTTTTGATGAATCAATTATTGTTTTTGATGTTATTTCATTTAATAAATTTGTTTGTTCTGATATATGTTGTGCAGTTATTTTCCAATCATTAATTAATTGTGAAATATTTGTTGATAATGTTGTTGATGTTTGTTGTTGATCATAATGATTTATAAATGCACTACCTGATAAATCATGTAAAAGTTTTAATTGACCACGAGAAAAATCATCAAATGATTTATCTTGTTTAATAAGATCACGTGTTAATGATTTAGCATTATCTTCAAGAGATTCTAAACGACGAGTTTCACGATCAAAATCTCGAGTTGTCTAAATTGAAAAGAGATATTTAATTAAGAATGAATAAATGAAATAAATTTACATACAATTACACCGATACTTTTACGTGAATTTGTATTTCGAGTAAATGGATTCCTAAGAATAAAAAGAGAAATTATTAATGAATTTAAAGAAGATTATGAAATGATTAATTAAAATGTTTAATCGAAAAGTAAAAGTGATTAGTTAACTTATTAGCAAATTTATTAAAAATTATGATATAATATATTCTTACCAACTACTCATTTGTTCAAATATCTTAAATTAGGAATGTACAATATCTAGAATAATTTATTAAAATTCAAATAAAATAAAAGCCATATATATCTGTTTATAATCATAAATTTTGTTCTCTGATTAATATTCTTTTTTTTTTTTTATGTATCAAAATAAATATAAGAAACATTCACAAACACATTACACATAAACATATATATATATATATAAATAAATAAGAAAGAAGACAAATTTTAGCAGCTTTCTTTCGACAATAAAACCGCACAAACAAATAATTAAGGTGGAAACATACGAAACAAAAATTGACATACACAACAATGATAGTATCTCTGTCGACAGTATAACGAAACAGATAAGAAATATGCATATATTAAATTTGGTTTTTTTTTGTTGTGGAATGATAAATAAGTAAAAAAAAAAAAAAAGAAAACGAAAAATTTGAAATGTTTCTATATTGCTCAATTAATCAATATTAAAATGACATGAAAAAAGAAGAAAAAAAACGAAAGAAAGAGAGAAACACACACACACACATTGCTTTTCGTTCACTGTTTTAATCAAATAATGTTAATTGTCGAACACTTATTGTTCCATCGGCACCTGATGAAAATAGATGACGACTAGTTGTTAAATGCAAGTGATTAACACCACTTATTTGTGAATGTAAAAATCCTCGTCGTGAATGTTCACCATAAAAACAATGAACCATTTCACAACCATGTAAACGCCAAATCTATAAAACAAAAGAATTTTATTTATTAAATATAAAAACAAATTATTTTATTTACTTTAATATTTCCTTCTGTTGATCCGGTTACATAAAATTTTTCTAATGGATCTAAACAAAGTGCTTTTAAATGTGAATCATGTGCTTGACTCGTTGCTAAACGTTTTCTTTGTCTTAAATCAAATATACATATATCTCCACGTTTACCACCTGATATTAATAATTGATGGGACTGTGAATAAGCTAAACATTGACCACCACCAGTAGTATCATGACAAGAAAATGCTAAACAAAAATTATTATTATTTTTGTTTGTTTAATTAGAAACAACAGGAGTACATAAGATATTTGATTTGGACTACAGAATACTTTCAGTTACTTTCTTTTAACTAATTTCATTATTTAACTTAATCCTGAAGGGGATTTCAGCTTAATTTTTCGACAAAAATAAAAATACTCGAAAGATTTTGAAAAATATATCGATCGACTCAAATTTTTATAATAATTTCAAATATACAATTGGTTTTTGTCAAAAATGGGATTAGTCTCATAAAATTCGCTCAAAATTAGTCTAAAAAATGTTTATTTCGTACATCGAACATAATGTACATATTTTAGGTATCGTGATCGAAGTCCGAATCAAATGAATTTACACATCGTCTGTCTTTGCTCTATCAAATAGTATACTAGAGAAAAATGTGCGAAACCATTCTAATTACTGTCCAGTTGTGAGCTGTGGAATCATACCCTGGTGACGTCATAGGGAGACTGAGCTTCCATCGGAAAGTTTTTAAAGCTATTACCAATGATGTCCTACAGAAGGGCTGAAGGGAGCTCAGTCGTACCCTGATAAAAAATTCTATCACCCTCGCTATCTCCTTTGACGGATTTTTGAATAAATTACTGAATATGTAAGAGTCCAATGACTCTTTTGTGAGTATTTTACCCCATATCCAATACTAATAATTTTGCGCAAATTTATTACTAAAGAGAATTGTCATATTTTTCTGTATAGAATCATCAATAAAGTAATCGAAAGTATTTTGTGATTCAAAACAATATCTAATGTATCTTTGTTCGTTTATTTACAAGTTATATTTGCACGTGATGTTGGCATTAATGTATCCCAAATAGCAACATTTTGTTGATCATTTGATAAACCACATGTTGCTAATAATGTTGAAGAATCAAGAAAAACAAAATCATTTGCACTTTTTGTATGAGTTAATAAACGCTAAACGAAGAATTGTTTTTTTTTTAAAATAAAGTTTCTTTTGTTTTTTTTTTCGTAAAGATAAAACTTACCATATAAACTGTTGATCGAGTACTTGATAAAACATGTAAGGATAAATTTCCTTCGATATCAGTGACACCAAACTATTTTTGAAAAAAACAAATTTATTAAATTCATCAATAAATGATAAAGGCATCTGTTTTGTTTATTACCTTATTTCCTTCATTATTTAATTCAATTTTAGTAACTCGTTTATTTGCTTCACGTACTTGTCTAGGTGTAGAATCATGAGACCAATTAAGTAAATAAATACTACCATCAGCACATCCAGTAAGATCTTCAAAAAGAAAAAATATTAAAACAAAAAAAAATTTTCTTTTAAATAAAAATTTACAATTAGGTAAAATTGGATGATTAGCAAATTTTCGACTTTCACGAATAGCATGTCGATTAACCTAATACATTAGAAAAAAATTTATTTATTTTTTTTTTGTGTTATTAATAAATAAATATCTTACAAGAACATGTTGATTATCAGTATTTGATGTACTTCCATTTGTATTTACTACATTCGATTGAGCTAAATACATATTTGGTGCATAAACAGCCATAGTTGGCATTCGAAGAGATGTTATTCGATTTGCTACTGAATCACGATTAAGCATTCTAGAAAAACAAAAACAAAAACAAATATTATCTTCTAATGAATACATAAATAAAAATAAAAAAAAGATGTCTAACGCTGATGCTTGTGGAAGTAAAGATGGTGATAATTCATTTTCATCATCCGATAATTCATATGGTTCATTTGTTGATGTTATACTTGATATATCTAATTCAATTATTTCACGAGATAAACCAGCTGCCAATAAAGTTGGATTCGTCTGTTATGAAAAAACAAAAAAGAAAGATTGAATTCAAAAGAATTTTAATTTTCGTATTTATCCACAATTAACTCTATCATAAAACCAAGAATGGCTCAATCGAGTGGATGTCGAGGCTATGACGCCTTCGATCCATTAGGTTGGATCCTAGCCCGATGGACTCTATTTCTCCACCCAATCAGGAAAACACTTTTTCCCAGGCGGAGCCGAGAATTTTCCGTGCATTCTCTTAGAAAAAGAATCTTTACATCCTTTTCCGCTTATGTTAACTGCTTAATATACTTACACTATTAAGACAAAATGAATGAATTGGTTCAGAATCTCGATATATAAGTTTTGAATTCGATTGTGGTGTTGTTGTTGATGTACTGTCTTGTAAACTTTCTATATTTGCTCGACTGTCCGACTAGAGTAAAAAATAAAAATAATAAAAATATTTAAAAAAAGAAAATCATAATTTTAATTTAGCAGCCATTAGACAATCGATTAAACTTACGGTAATCGATTGAAAAGAAACTGAACGTTTTACAGGTGGTTTTTTTACGGGAACGAAACTTGTCGACTTAAAAAATAAATTTTGATTATCATATGTTTTTTATTTTTATGTTTATCTTATTTAATAATAAAAGAAAACAAAAAGAAAAATATTTACTTTATCTATTATTTTATTCATCGGTTGACTTATTGGTGTTGTTGCTTTTCGTTTAAATATATATTTAATAAATATTCCTTGTGATTGTTCATCATTAACTAAATATGTCCAAAGACGTTTTGCTGGTAATGCTGATATTGATTTTCTTTTTATTAGAATAAGAAAAAAAGAAAAGAAATTTTTTAATATGGAAACAACAAAAAAAAACTTATTCTTACGAAAATGGAGTATTTTTTGGATCGAGTATTGTTCGATATCGATGTATAGCTAAACCAGTTGTTTGTTCATCAACACTATTTAATCCACTGAATGGTAAATAATTATCTGATGGTACATTAAATGTTTCAAGTGTACGTCGAAGTGAATCTTGCCATATACTAAGATTTTGTAATAATTGTTGAATTAATGGTGAAACACTTGGAATTTCTTCAATAAAAACAAAAGATTAGAAATATTTGAAAAAAAAAATTTATATTTTTGAAAATTACCATGTTTTTCAATACCAATATGAGGAAAAAATGCCCATAAACGTTTATAAATAAGTCGAACAATTGTATAACGCATAAGAACCCATGAATATGACATTGAATCTGTATGTTCACGTTCTCGAATTTTACTAGAATATTAAATAAATGAAAATTTAATTTTAATTTAAAAAAAATTTTAATTTTCATTACCGTTCTTTCTTTTTCGATGTTAATTCATTATCAATTTTTATTGAATTTGAAATATCATCATCGTCATCACCATCATCATCATCATCATCTACATCTTCTTCACTTATGTCTTCATCAATAATCATTGAATTAGGATCTCTATCTGATGAAACCTATGATAAATTTATTTATTCAAATATTTATTTAGCAAAAAAAAAGAAAAACAAATAAGAATTACTTTGGCCATAAAATAATTAACAATACTAGCACGTGGAGGAATAAATACTTCTACATAAGATGGTTGTTGTGGTTGTTGTTGAGGTTGAGCGTTTGGTATCATAATTTTACTTGCAAATGAACTTCTCGATGGAAGTCGATCTGCTGACAATGATGTAGGTATTTCATTACTTGGATCAGCTAAATAAACAAAAAAAAAATTATTTATCAAAAAAAAGAACAACAAAAGTTTCTTATTTACGTGATGATGATAAGAATGTTGAAGTTGTTGGATTTGGTTTAGGTTTTTTTGCTCCACCACCAAAAACTCCATACCATAATTTAACAGCTGTTTCAGGTGTTGACCATTTTCGTACAAGTAATCGATATAATGTATTACAATCATCAGTTGATAATGCGTAAATTAATAATGACATATAAACTGATATTAAAATTTCAACAAGAAGAATTCTTAATTTTGTTAAATTATTTTCTTGATCTTTTGGTGTATTTACAAAAATTTTTATGCCTTTTTAAAAAGAAAAATAAATTATAAGAAAATAATGGCATTTTCGAATTAAATTAAAGCGTGTCTGAATTGAGGCATTCAAACTTTAAGGATAGTGTACTTAAAAATCAA